TGTGAAACGTTTGCCATGAACATGAAATATTTCATTGAAAAAGGGACCAATTAAAATGGACAGTCTTTAAGAGAATATATTATGTGGATTGACTAACATTTTTTAATGTATATTGAAGATCAATTTTTATCCATGTTTTGCTTTTAATGTTGTAGTGAACATTCTGTGTGTTACAAATCGCCAATTAACGTCTGTGAACATAGAGAGGATTTGAAGGGGTGCCTGGTAATATCCATGGCATGTCAAAGAGGGTCTGTTTGATAAAACAATTGAGATACTATGACTTTCATAACTTGCCAATGACAGTTGACTTATTCCTTCAATAGGAACTTGGTTAGCATTTTCACATTTTTTAAAAATCACCACATTCCTAATCCTACATGCATGTTCGAAAAGATTTCAAAATAATATTTCTGCAAATATACACAGGTTTCCATATTGCAAAGTGGCAACATTTTGTCATTTTCCTAATGCACCATGGGAAGAAATGCTTTACACCAACTAACATTGCACTTCGTTGAAGGTGTGGTTACAATACCAAGGTGTACGTGTTGAAGGTATTCTTGGTGCGAGATGTTGGCAGCGAGAAGGATACCTTGTTCCCTTGTAACCTGGAGTGTTCACTGTTCACTATTTGCCTCATACGTGTTCATTTTAACTTACAAGGTTCACATCAATGTGTTCATGATTACTTGTTAGTTTTTTGCAATAAAGTTTACTCGCAATGGAAGAAGTCAGTCTGTATTCACTCAACACATTGCTTCCTAGAACTTGGGTATATAGAAGTAGCTGGCACCCACTGACTGATGTTGGAGCGTATCCTGAGGGTATTCTTGTTATGACATGCTCCAGTCAACCTGAGGCGATCGGGTAGCCTGGTGGTTCAAGTGTTCGTCCTACCAAAGACACCAGGTTTGATTCTCCACATCTGATAAATCCATTTCTGGTGTCTGCTATGTTCTATTGCTGAAATATTTGTAAAAGTGGTGTTAAACCACTAACTACAATTAACCTTTGTGTGTTGTGTGGACCAAATGGATAGTCTGACTTGATTGTTCCACACACAAAACATCATTTCAGGCACACGTGAAGATCCAGGTTAGAATTGGTCTTGAGTAACCCAGAGGCGACTAACGGGATCGGGTAGTCAGGCTCGCTGACTTTTTAATCATTTCATTTTAATCAATCACTGAATAATACTGCAGTATAACAGGCTTTAGGCTTCAGAAACCTGAGCATGTGCAATGTTAGGACGATGTGAAAAATGCTTGAAAGTCCAGGACCCCTAAAATGTATTACCATGAGTCCCCTAGACTTGAATATAGATGGACCCAGGTTGATCCTTGGATCTCTGACCCGTGAAGGTCCGGGTTAGAATGAGCCTTCAGTAACCCATGCTTGTCGTAAGAGGCGAGACCCGTGAAGGTCCGGGTTAGAATGAACCTTCAGTAACCCATGCTTGTCGTAAGAGGCGACTAACGGGATTGGGTGGTCAGGCTCGCTGACTTGGTTGACACATGTCATCGGTTCCCAGTTGCGCAGATCGATGCTCATACTGTTGATCACTGGATTGTCTGGTCCAGACTCGATTATTTGCAGACCGCCACCATATAGCTGGAATATTGCTGAGTGCGGCGTTAAACAACAAACCAATCAACCCAATCATTTCCGGATTACAGTACTTCACCTGGTTGACTGCACCATCTATAAGGCGCGACCTACTTGGTCTAGTGGACAGAACGTCTACCTGTACAGGAGATGGGTGGTTTGTTCCCCAAGTGCTTCATACCAAGACTCGTCATCATATCTGTTTATTAAAGTGTATCTAGTTGTGAAACCTTAGCTTGTTATTTCAGTGGGCAAACAATACAAAGAAGGTGAGGTGAAATTGGGTTTAACGTCGTGCTTGAGAATATTTCGCTCATACGACGACGTGCATGGCGGTATATGTGTATGTGTGGCTGCTTGTACTAGCCCAGACTGAAGCTGGTTTTATAGTGCTAGCCCATTGAGATACCATGCCACAGTGAAGCATGAATACCCCACTCAGACACATTATACTGACTCCGAGCCAACCAGTCCTTGTTGTACCCATTAATGCCGAGCGGCAGGCAGGGACCAACAAGTACCATATTTTAACGCCTTTTGGTATGACGCGGTCGGGGATCGAACCCGCGACCTTCCGCTCTCCGGGCGGACGCTCTAACCACTACACCACGGAGGCTGTCCTATACAAAGAAGGCATCAATCTTGATAAGTGAGAGTAAATACAGAGATGCCAACTCTTACGCTTTGGGCGTAATTATTACGATTTTGACCATTAAATTACGCCATTACACTTAATCTGCGAAAATTACACTTTTCTACTCGTTTTAGCGAAAATCAATAAAGTGGATAAAATTTCACAGGGATTTTTTCTCGTAACGCACTAGTGCAGGGGTTCAGAAATGGCCTTACACCTATAGGAATCGCTTACTCTTAGCATTGCGCTCATTCCAATTAACTTGTAAGGAATTAAAGTATTTTGTGTCAGATGACCAACAATTTTCGATGTATGGAACTTCATAATGATTGGTCACGTGTATTTTTGTCTAGAATCTTTCCTATTCCTAAGTAAGTGTTTTAGCTATTACTCCTTTTAGGTGCAAATTACACTTCTTGACCTCCAGTATTACACTTAGGCCCAAAATAGGGTTGGCATCTCTGGTAAATATTCCCGAACACTGCCTAAATAATATTGCAGGTATCTCGGCCAATCAAGACCAGTACAAACAGTCACAGACACATGCATGGCTATATAAGTGCAATACCCATGAATGTGACGCTAAACTCCATTTGACACACATCAACACTGTAGAATGTTGCCTGGGTCGGTTCACACTGCATTCATTGTGGCAGCCAATATACAGCTGTAGTTCTGACATCACTCACAGTGTCAGAAAAGACACTGTCACTGAGGCTGGTTGTCAGAAGTTCACGACACTCAGGCTGATTACTACTGTTTACAAACTGAAAAATTTATGAGTGAGTGAGCTTAATTTTACGCCGCACTCTGCAATATCACAGCTATATGGCGACAGTCTGTAAATAATTAAGTCTGGACCAGACAATCCAGTGATCAACAGCATGAAATTGATCTGTGCAATTGGGAACCGATGACATGTGTCAACCAAGTCAGCGAGCCTGACCACCCGATCCTGTTTCGCCTCTTACGACAAGCATGGGTTACTGAAGGCTTATTCTAACCCGGACCTTCACGGGTCAGAGATCCAAGGTCCTGGGTCCATCTATGTTCAAGTCTAGGGGACTCATGGTAATACATTTTAGGGGTCCTGGACTTCCAAGCATTTTTCACATGTCCTAACATTGCAAATGCTCAGGTTCGTCTGAAGCCTAAAGCCTGTTATACTCCAGTATTATTCAGTGATTGATTAAAATGAAGAAAATCAATTATTAACATACTGAACTATGTACGTTTCTTAACAGAACAGAAGTATGTATGAATAGGGATTTTGTGTGATAGATAGAATCTCACTTTTGTATATTTTTAAATCAAACATTTCTACACAAGAAAGACATAGACCTTCAACATCTCACACTAAAAATACCGAGCTTGTACAACTAACAGGAGGTACCAGAAAGTTCATCTTCCGAGGTTTTAGAGGACAAAGCACATAAACAGTTCATTCATGAAGTGAATTTTAAAATACAACATGTCAATCAATAAAAATAAGAGTTAAAAATATGATCTGACAGTGTGTTTCAAACTGACATTTACAAGACTGATCTGAAACCTTGACACACCATGCTACATCATGTGACAATGATGGTGGCAACATGTAAATATACACAAAGAACTTAATTAGGCACCCCTGTATTTTTGCAATGATAGGTTTTCAACACATACATAAAACTTCTCGTGGTGACCACGATGGAGTTTTTCCGACCTGTTATTGTTTGGTGCAACAAGGTGATTGCCTTAGGTTACACTGGGTGCAAGTAGCTTCATTTCCTTTAATCGACCCCTGCAAACATGTTTGGGCATATCAAAAATAAAGGGTTCTCAAATCATGAATAATATTTACCAGCTAGGCTACCCAAGTGTTTGATGGCAATGATGATGATGTCACAGGGGCTTGTAACGCTAAAAACAGCCATCAAGGTATGTACTGTCACTAACGGGGTCTTATCACTATATAAAAGGAAAGGGATGTAACGAGGTCAACACACCAAGTTCTTTCAGGGTGAATTCAACAATGCTCACTGTATTTATCCCATTAAAAGTTGCACACATTTGAAGCCAAAAGATTTACCTACAAAATAAGACATAGAGCACAAAAATCGAAGCCGTACTTTGGGAGCTAGGGTCTTTGGAAGCTGGAAAAATCATGATTTCTCGATTCCGAGCCAAAATCACTGCTCAGAATTTGTAGCAGTAACTCACCCATTTTCTTGTTTATTTCACAGTATACACAAACGACATTCACCCAAACATGTTGAACTGATGACGCCTGACAGCGCGCTAGTCGCCATTCTTTCGGAGACATTTACACCTCACCATCATAATGAGTTTACGTACATTTATTCATCGCAAACAGAATTGTGTCGTGCCCGTTCGTCATTGACGACCTTGACCTTAACCTGCCCCGCACTGAAAAAAGTCTGCGATCTCATGGGACATATTTTATTTATAGCCAATGAGCTCCCTTGCAAGTGTCTCCGAAAAGAATGGTGACTAGCGCGCTGTCAGGCGTCATCAGTTCAACATGTTTGGGTGAATGTCGTTTGTGTATACTGTGAAATAAACAAGAAAATGGGTGAGTTACCGCTACAACTTCTGAGCAGGGATTTTGGCTCGGAATCGAGAAAACACGATTTTTCCAGCTTCCGAAGACCCTAGCTCCCAAACTACTTCTTCGATTTTTGTGCTGTATGTCTCATTTTGTAGGGAAATCTATTGGCTTGAAATGTGTGCATACTTTAAGTGGGATAAATACAGTGAGTATTGTTGAATTCGCCCTGAAACGAACCTGGTGTGTTGACCTCGTTACATCCCTTTCCTTTTATATAGTGATAAGACCCCGTGAGTGACAGTACATAACTTGATGGCAGTTTTTAGCGTGACAAGCCCCTGTGGATGATGTTTCAAATGCTGCTGTTGATAGTGATAATGAAGATGTTGGCAATGATGGTGTTGATGTTGATTTTGATGTTCCAAACAATGGTGACGATGCTGATGAAGCTGCTGCTCTAAATGATGGTGTTGATCATGATGAGGACATCCCTGATGATGTTGTTGATGGTGATGACAAAATGGAGTACTTCCCAACAATACTCCCCTTCCTGTACCCATGTGAACTGTCACTACCTTAGAATTATTCCCATCCTGCTTGCTACCTCCAGTCTGAGCATGCTCTGTAGCTTCCAGGAAGTGATGTAAGACAGAGCCTGGTCATGTGACTGAAATGTCATACGGTAACAGCGACTTCGCCTCTCCGTTTCAACATCATGATAGCTGTCAATCATCTTAACATCGGTCACCACATCCCCAGCGACATCTCGCACAACATCATGCAACGTCTGCTCCTCAAACTGTCTCGGGCTCTCCCAGAAACTTAAATCATGGAAGAATTTCATTGAGTAAAGGCTAAAAGGCTTGTATTTGACGGTTGTTCCTGTTTTGTCCGCAAACTGGTTCTTGAAACGTGGATCTGTGGACCACAGAAGCGGCGGTGCCGGAATTTCATGGATTTTCATTACAATTTTGTTCAAATCAAACACTAGAATCAGTTTCATTGTATCGTCAGGACAGGTCCAGTTCAACACACAACCACACACATCCCCCTTGTTCTTCTTATCCAACATCATCTGAATTTCATGAGACACATTCAACTCCCCAAAGTCAGTACTTACAGAAATGTTTTCCTCATGAACAGGTGTAATGTCAAAATACAAACCTGTTGCCCTCTGTACCACTCGACTGACAGACCACACTTGCTCATCAGGATTCCCGCTCCGACTGACCACCATCATCTGGTGACCAACGGAACTGGTCTCCTGACCAATCACCCGCTGACCATAAACATCACATGACACCACGTGACATGCAACACCACTCGATGCCATGAGGGTGACGACTGGAGGTAATTCTTCGATTACACAAGATCTGAGGTGAAGCTGACCAGAGAAACTGTCACCAGCTGACGTCAAATCATCCATACACTTTTCGGATTCATCCTGTTCCTTCTCCTCAACGATGCCATCCTCCTTGGCTGAATCACCTGGACACTTGAGACTCTGTAAGTAGTACGGCTGGGGGAACAAGTCATGCACTGCCGTGTGAGTCTGTTTGACCACTCGAGGTCCAGGCCCCTCTTTGACCAGAGACGGAGTGTCCAGATGGTGAGCCTGACCCCCAAGCTCGGCTGATATCAGCTCCTCCAGAACAGAACGGAGCTGATGTAGAGGGTGGTGAAGGCTGTACAACAGCTTCCTAGAACACATCACACAACAAATTAGTACAACAAATAATATTTGTAAGTTTATAAACAATTTACAGTTACCCATCACAGCTGTGAAGTTTTATCAAATTTAATCTTCAGGAATTAGCACAGCCAAATCATATTTGTCAATTTTGAAAAGATGCAAAAAGCATGGACACCTATCACAAAAGTGATCCCTATTTTACCCTAGGAGTGAGTGAGTGAGTTTGGTTTTACACCGCTTTTAGCAATATTCCAGCAATATCACGGCGGGGGACACCAGAAATGGGCTTAACACATTGTACCCATGTGGGGAATCGAACCCGGGTCTTCGGCGTGATGAGCGAACGCTGTAACCACTAGGCTACCCCACTGCCCCCTTTTACCCTAGGAAATAGTACAACTAAATTAAATATGTTAATTTTGATATCATCCATAAAGCACATTCATAGCCGTCAATTTCATTCATAAAGCACATTCATAGCCTTCAATTTCATTCATAAAGCAAATTCATAGCCTGGTCAGCACTGGGACATTCATAGCCGTCAATTTCATTACAATTTCATCTACAGGAATTTTTACAGCCAAATTTATTGAGGTAATTTTAAGATGGGACTCAACCTAATAAAAGTACTAGGATCTGTACTTATACTTAACTGAGAAAGTGTAATCTCAAATACAACATGTTACATCGGAAGAAGTTTCTTGTACATTCACAAAGCAATACCTGTTTATATTGAAGGACACAGACACAAACTTTCTAATAAACAAGATTTACTGTTTTCTCACAAAAAGATCGAGCAGAGTCTAACAAATAACTCAGCCCTAGAGTTTCTAGAGGCAGCTCTAGTTATTTAATGGTTTCATGTGGACAGCTCTTGTCTAATGAAATATGAGGATTTAGTATTGTGTTAAAGAGTTAGCTTGTAACTCTGAATAATATAAGTTTTAACAGGGTACATTAGGCTGAAGAAAACTTTGACAATACCTGTTGAGCTTGTGTTCCAGGTATCTGGGGCAGGTGTAGGTCTTATCCCCCCAGATCAGCTGTCCCCCACGCTGAAGACACTCAGGTACAGCCACCGACTCCGCCACCTCAAACACGTGGGTCAGAGCTCCTTCTGTGTGGAAACCTTTGTCCAGGCTCCTGTTGTTACCATAGAAACAAGAACGCACAACTCACTTCCTCTTGTACATAATATTTAGCAGTAAAAAAGTAGTCATAATAGCTTTCCAAATTCACACTAGTCTGAAAGTTTGGGAGCATTAAAGTGCACTTATCATAGTCTTCACTGAAGCAGAATTTGTGCATTATTATTCTGAACCAGTTTTCAGTGTTACAATAAACCTAACAGAAAATAAAGTAAACACTTTGCCTTGGCTATTTAATACAAATAATTTGTACAAGTGCTTGAGAGGAGTGGGGTGGGGTGGGGTGGGGTGGGGTGGAGTGGAGTGGAGTGGAGTGGAGTGGAGTGGAGTGGAGTGGAGCGGAGTGGAGCGGAGCAGAGAGAAGTTGAGTGAATGAGTGTTGGATTTTATGACGGTTTAAGTAATATTCTAGAAAAATCAGTTTGGTGATCTATTCATTTTCTTGCATCCTGGTCAAGTCTTACTCCAGTCAATGGCGGGTGTAGGTTCCCCCCTTAATAAATGACTCATATCATCACACATGAAGGGTTACAAATGTCTTAATGTAGGAAAGGTTTCTATTTATTAAATAAACATCTTATACAAATTAAACATAAATATAAAGACCACTTGAAAATTTGATTGATCTACTGGCATCATCTGAAACAGAGTGAGTGAGTGGGGTTCATCTCCCCCTGAACAGTTTCTGCTATGTCAACTTAATGTGGGAAGTGAAGGTGAGGTGAGGCGAAATGGGGTTTAACGTTGTACTTCAGAATACAGTCAAATCCCAATGAGTCGAATGCCGGTGTCTCGAATATTATGCATAACTCGAAGTACCCGTCGGTCCCGACCATTCCCTGTTATAGTTGTCATTATTTGATTTCCGGTTACACGAATTCGTCTCATAAATACACACGATGACTCGAGAAGGAAATTTGGTACCATGAGATTCAAACAACAGCAATCTTGTATACATAAGCCGAAGTCAATCAATGAGAAGTTGATTGGTGCAGCAAACTGATCCAATTAACAAACCAGCGCAGCTCTGGCATAACAAATTGCAACACCTTGGACCAGAGAGCTACTCATGTCCGCTCTTCATTAAAAAACTAGACGCTTTATGAACATTACCTGAATCCTACTGAGTTGTATTCCTGGAATTCTTCAGCAGAGAATGGTACAACTTGAGTGAGAATGAGGCTTGCATTGGCTGCCATGGAAACCACCTGCCAGCTGTCATGCCATGCTCTCATTGGTCGATCAGCAGGAGTCCCACCTTGACCTTTACACAAGGTCACCATGATTTGTCCATCCGGACTCAACACTTTCACAGCACTTGGAACAAAATTGTTTCAGCACATTACTTACAAATAGATATAAACAAGAGTCATCAGAAGATGACATATCCCCCCGGCCCCCACATCTTTGAAAGAACAAATCATCTGACAGTTACTTAAAGTCCAGCTTGATTTTAGACTAAGTGCAAATCGTTTCCATGGAAATCATGAAAAAAATAAATGACAAAAATCTGCAAATAGCAACAGGGACCACTTCAAGATCTGCCTCACATATCTGCCAAGTTTTACTGAAAGATGTTAAGAAGTTTTTGAGTTGTGCTCCGGAAACGAAACCTACCCCGCCCTTTTGCGACTAAGTCTGAATCGTTTCCATGGAAACCGGGAAAAATAAAAATGCCAAAAATCTGCAAATAGCAAAAGGCACCACTTTGGGATCTGCCTCACATATCTGCCAAGTTTTGCTGAAAGATAATGAAAAGTTTTCGAGTTGTGCTCCGGAAACGAAACCCACCCCTCCTTTTGGGACTAAGTCCGAATCGTTTCCATGGAAACCGGGAAAAATAAAAATGCCAAACATCTGCAAGTAGCAAAAGGCACCACTTAAGGTTCTGTTTGATATATCTACCAAGTTTTGTTGAAAAATATTGAATGGTTCTTGAGTTATGCTCCGGAAACAAAATGATTACGGACGGAGGGACAGACGGACGAGGCGACGACTATCCCCCCCCGCATTACATGCCGGGTGGGTTAAAAAGAAAGAAATACTATATTCCTGGAATTAAGAAGGATCCTGATACAGCATTATTCTGAGACACGTCCCCAGTTTTCAAGCATTGGAGAATAGTTCTATCAAAAATATTTTTCAGGGGCGAAACAATTGTTTTGGATATCTAACCCCAAACACATTATTTTCAGAATACCCTCACTGTCTGAAAATTAAGTTGTTTTATTTAGTTAACACGTGAGTAAGTATGGTTTTACGCCGCTTGTAGCAATATTCCAGCAATATCACAAAAGGACACTAGAAATGGGCTTCACAAATTGTACAGATGTGGGGAATCGGCGTGACGAGCAAACGCTTTAACCACTAGGCTACCCCACTGCCTAGCTGGGACAGAGATTCACACTGGAGAATAAGCCACATTGAAGCAAGTCTAAAACACTACCCACTGTACCTGGAGAAGAAGTTATTGAGGAGGGTCCTGTTTTTCTTGTGGTTGGACTTGCCCCCAGCATGAGGGAAGTTGAAGATGATGCGCGAGAAGCGGGCGTCCTCCGACCCCTGCAGGTCCGTGCACGTCTGCAGCTCCGTTGCATCCACGTTGAAACAAACACGAACACCTGGAAAAAAACATCATATCGTTACCATTAGGGATAAAAAAAAGTACGCTGTTACCACGGTACGGTATGTTTTGCACATAGGCGCCCGACTCTGATTTTATCTTATATATGTATGTCATACTTATAAGTATATGGTAGATATGATGACTGAAACTTTATTTGTTATATAGCAGAACTTGTGTTACATTCACACACACTTAAAAAGCTGTTCATCTAATAAAGTTTCAGCATTTAATGCTTAACAAAGTACAGTCAAACAAATTCAGCATACCTTGATCGAATATATATAAATTTGAAAGTGAACTTTCCCTTGGGAAGTTGTGTTTTTACACCAATGCTTTCACAAACAACTCAATGTAATTTATATTAGAATTCAGAATCACTGAAAAAACCTCTTAAGTCTGCTTTTTAAATTTTATCTTCTCTTTGTTCTCTTTCTTAACAAAACTAAGACATCATTCATAGTTGTTAATAAATGGTGTTATATGTCAAACTAAAACATATTTCAATTACTTGAAGACAAGTGTTCTTCAGTTCAAAGAGTTTGTAAAATGTTCACACTCTTTCACTTATACACCAACTTGTTTCTTCATGCAACAATGATAACAGACACAAACAAATTCATTTAAGGTTCAATTTTTTTTTTTTAAATTCAGAAGAATTTCAAAGAGACTCCTTTTTTATTCCTAATGCAATACTCCTCAAACTTTAAGTAGTATTTAAGTTGTATCAGGATATATCATCTCTTGTGGCGATACATCGATGTATAATGGACTCTCGCGACATAAACTTCCTGATGTATTGCCTAAATGTGTTTTATATCGATGTACTCGTATCTCGTAGTTGACGATGTAAACATCAATTCTATCGATGAATCGTTACACCACTAGCTGTCATATAGCTGGAATATTGCTGAGTGCGGCTAAAAACTATACTCACTCACCCATGATGTTTATCACTGGATGGTCTGGTCCAGACTAGACTATTTACAGACTGCCACCATATAGCTGGAATATTGCTGAGTGTGGCATTAAACAACAAACAAACAAATATAAAGCTGCAGTTTATCCTGCTACTTTCAGTGTGTATAGCGGCCAGAGGGTTCAAGTCATGGATGTTTAATAGAAACAGACCTATATTCAAACACAAACTGAGTGATCACTCACAACGCTACTGAGGAGCTGTCGATGATAGAATTACCTCTGTCTCGAAGAATCTGAATATTCCTGGCAGCCAGGTGATGCTTCTCGATGGACTCTTCTGATTCCAGACTTGTTGCCAACACCTGATTGCCATGGAAGTCACATTTCGACACCAGAGCCACAGCAAGGGAGAAATCGCCTTCTCCCACGAGGAGTAGTCTCCCTTTAAGTGGTGCCTCCATCTTCACCTTCCTATCAGCTGGTGAAATGGACAACACAAAAATACTGAGTGATTGGGTTTAGTTTAACGCATCCTCGATAATCTCCAGGGTATACGCTCACTCTCCACTATACCCTGGATGCATCCACGGCTTGGCCCGATGATTTTATTACCTCCCTTTGCTGGCTTTTTATCCAATCAGGTGTCTACGCTGGGATGTTGAGCAAACCAATCACAACTCACTTTCGCTTCTTAAATTATCTAACCGTTTAAATTTGGCAACACAATTGATGCAGAGGTACTCTGAAAGAGGTAGAAGGAGTTCTTTCATATATTGTTTTAAAGTTTCAGATCTGTCAATTTGTCTGCATGATTTCCCCAAAAGTCTGAGTGGCACTGCAAATAAACCTTCGCGACTGCAACCGCTATCTTTGTTGACACTGGCAAGCTCGGATGTAACGGAGGCTTAGCTGATTGGCTACTGTGAGAATGCGGAGCAAGCAAAGGGAGGTAATATAATTATCGGACCAAGCCATGGATGCATCCAGGGTATAGTGGATCGTGATCGTAAGGTATACCCTGGAGATTATCAAGGATGAGTTTAACGCTACTTTTAGCAAAATTCCAGCAATATCACGGACACCATAAATGGGCTTCACACATTTTACTCATATGGGGAATCAACTCCGGCTCTTTGATGTGAAGAGCGAACACTTTAACCACTAGGCTACCCCCAGTGTATGAAATAAGCCAAAACCCCAGCCGACATCAGGGCTGATAACTTCAAAATGTTACCAGTCCAAAATGGATTTAACCAGACCAGACACCAAGATATGACTCAGATGTACATAACATCACAATTTTTAACCAGACCATCCGGCTGGCTAGCTGTAAATTTAGACCGTCCGTCAGAACTCTGACCAGTCTCAAGCGATCAGACGGGCCTTATTTCATACACTGCTACCCTACCACCCAAACAACACAAAAGTGGGGACAGGATTCAACTCTCATGAGTTAAAAATCTAAAGTTTCTTTGCATGGTAGTAAATACCTCTTTGTATTTAAGAAATTCAGTTCGCTTTACCACCATGTATAGTGTAATAAAGCACACTTTCGCCCTGAACTATTATAGTTAAAGCACGATGACGCTTGATACATTGTGACGTAATGCAAAAAGTGCACATTATCGTCTGATAAAGTACTGTCGGCGCCTTTGATCTTTCACCGAAGCATCTTAGAATATGATATTTGACATAGTGACTTGACTAATATTATCAAGCCTGTCACACACAGAAATGGCCATTAGCAATCTATAATTGTTTTACTATATTTGACAATGACTAGATTCTATTATCTATCTTAGGAACCGTTCATAACTTATGGCAAGGGAAGTGATGATGATTGTTTATAAAGGAGCATCTACAATGTGAATGATCCCCATAATATTTATGCACAAAGTGACCCCCCTGCCTGCATGTCATGTACATAATCAATTTACCCCCTATAATTCTAAAGCTAAGTTTACAATATTTTTATGTTCAAAATTGATGACCACCCCAATTGATGTGTACGAAATTGATGACACCTCCCCCCACCTCAGAACAAAATGGGTGACCCCCCTTAAAATCATCATGGAATATTGCTTTCTACCACTAAACAACAAACTAACAGAACTCTTCGAAAACAGACCTAAAGTTTTAAGGTTAATGTGCTTAAGTCTACCTTAAACTTTACTCTCCTGAACATATGGTCTTATAAGGCATTCAAACATATCTATATACAACTCATGTCGCCATAACTGTTTGACAAAGTTAGAGATAAGTTTTTCATGTTTTGAAAGCCTCAAAGAGTGTTTTGTACCTCGACATGAATGAATTTTGGTGAAACGACCTGTAGTTAGGGTTTGGGTTGCCCAAACCCACTTAAAAGAAACAGATTTAGACAACTAGGGTCTATTACAGTCTAGAGTTCCTCCCATTTCCCCATAATCCCACAATACATATTTATAAATATTCATTTTCAAAATTAAATTAATTTAAAAACTTAGGACAACAACAATTACTCCCACCCCCATCTCCGGAATCCACCTAATGATGGGGTCAAAAACTTACACCGGCAACTACCTCTGGTGCTGATCGTAATAAGGGCTTAACAAATACATTGTATGACACTGAACTCAACACTCCTAAAGATGGTGTATATAATAATATTGAACTCAAATGATATCATATCTACTAATATTTGAAACAAACCCCATACTTCACAACAACATTTCTCGCGCCGAATACTTGTGTCGTGCATGTGTACTTCTCAAGGGGGGTAACTCTAAATTACTCACCATAGAGAAACCGCAAAGTCTTATTCAAGTTGAAAGCCATTGCTGCCAATTTTCTCAAATTTGATGATTTGTGTTTAATTAGTGTTCACACAGTGTATGTTTGTACACAAACATTTATTTTTATCTTGTTCATATAGATCAACTGAGATAAAGATTTAGATTTAGCTGAAAACTTCTCTTTCAACTTAGCCGGGTAACTTAAATTATCTCTCGGTCCCGATATCTAACTATACACGTGCATTGCAGTTAAAGTTTGAACTATAATCGTTGAAAATGTTGATCTACAGGATGTGATATTATCAGATGTTTCTATCAGATATAAATCATAATGGCCGTAAAGATATTTTAAGCTGTAAGCCGATCAAATGAATGGCGAAGGTTCACTGCTTATCATGAGTGAGTGAGTGAGTGAATGAGTGAGTGAGTGAGAGTGAGCGAGATCCATTAACTATACCACAGGTCCAGGAGAGCTGCATTTCTCAAGAAAAAACGTTCTGGTGGTGATAAATAAGGAACCCTTTGTCTGTATTCCTAGGCTGCGAGTCGGTCATACATATTGAAGCATCGTAGTGGAACCTCTTGAACAAATTCAGGTATTATATAGTTGGTAGTCTGCATGCCAAGTTCCACCTTAATTTTTCCAGTGGTAAAGAGTTTTACAACGGCGCAACGACATGACCGGAATGCTGACAACCGGGAGGTACCTTAGGTCAGGTGAGCTATATGTCCCCAACTATACCAGGCCCTATGTAGAGGTTAACTTTAGACCACAAACTTAATTGTTACAGTGAGAGAGTTGATTTTAAGGCAACTACGAATCTCTTAGTTGTGTCTCATAGTTGCACAAATTATGAGATACACGTACTGGGAGCGCAAGCTCACCTGCTGAAGTAGTGAGTGAGTGAGTATGGTTTTACGCCGCTTTTAGCAATATTCCAGCAATATCACGGCGGGGTACACCAGAAATGGGCTTCACACATTGTGCCCATGTGGGGAATCGAACTCGGGTCTTCGGCGTGACGCCTGTTGAAGTATCAGAGCTAAATTGTAATTTGGAACCCAGCGCGGAATTACATTTAGTTGGGTTTAGCCACAAAACCAGCACTAAAATAAATAGACTTCACAGAATAAGTAATATTGACAGACACCAGCGACATGCATTAGAGAGTAAATGCCCTATCTGAAAGTTTGTCATCAAGGAGTTGTCAACCTTGAATGTGACATTTTCATGTAAGATTCCGTGTCTTGTGTCAACCCATCCTCGGTAGTCTCCAGAGTATACGTTCCGATAAATTTAGTGGAGATTTATCGGAACGTATACCCTGGAGATTATTGTTTCAACCTTGAATGTGACGTTGTTATGTAAGATTCTGTGTCCTATGTCAGCCTTGAAGGTGACATTACCATGTAAGATTCCGTGTCCTATCAACCTTGAATGTGACGTTGTTATGTAAGATTATGTGTCCTATGTCAGCCTTGAAGGTGACATTACCATGTAAGATTCGGCGTCCTATGTCAACCTTGAATGTGACGTTATTATGTAAGATTATGAGTCCTATGTCAGCCTTGAATGTGACATTGCCATGTAAGATTATGTGTCCTATATCAACCTTGAATGTGACGTTGTTATGTAAGATTATGTGTCCTATGTCAACCTTGAATGTGACGTTGTTATGTAAGATTATGTGTCCTATGTCAACCTTGAATGTGACGTTGTTATGTAAGATTATGTGTCCTATGTCAGCCTTTAATGTGACGTTGTGTAAGATAATGTGTCCTATGTCAGCCTTGAAGGTGACATTACCATGTAAGATTCCGTGTCCTATCAACCTTGAATGTGACGTTGTTATTTAAGATTATGTGTCCTATGTCAGCCTTGAAGGTGACATTACCATGTAAGATTCGGCGTCCTATGTCAACCTTGAATGTGACGTTATTATGTAAGATTATGTGTCCTATGTCAGCCTTGAATGTGACATTGCCATGTAAGATTATGTGTCCTATGTCAACCTTGAATGTGACGTTGTTATGTAAGATTATGTGTCCTATGTCAACCTTGAATGTGACGTTATGTAAGATTATGTGTCCTATGTCAACCTTGAATGTGACGTTATTATGTAAGATTATGTGTCCTATCAACCTTGAATGTGACGTTGTTATGTAAGATTATGTGTCCTATCAACCTTGAATGTGACGTTATGTAAGATTATGTGTCCTATCAACCTTGAATGTGACGTTATGTAAGATTCCGCGTCCTATGTCAACCTTGAATGTGAAGTTGTTATGTAAGATTATGTGTCCTATCAACCTTGAATGTGACGTTATGTAAGATTCCGCGTCCTATGTCAACCTTGAATGTGAAGTTGTTATGTAAGATTATGTGTCCTATCAACCTTGAATGTGACGTTGTTATGTAAGATTCCGCGTCCTATGTCAACCTTGAATGTGAAGTTGTTATGTAAGATTATGTGTCCTATCAACCTTGAATGTGACGTTGTTATGTAAGATTATGTGTCCTATCAACCTTGAATGTGACGTTGTTAAGTAAGATTATGTGTCCTATGTCAGCCTTGAATGTGAAATTACCATGTAAGATTGCATGGACAAAGACAAGATAATGACATTACCATGTAGATGTTTAAGTTCTCTCCTGGCTCAGTTTGCCAGATCTTAGTGTTGCAAGCCAGGACGTGAAAACAGTGAGTGAGTTTAGTTTTACGCCGCTTTTAGCAATATTCCAGCAATATCACGGCGGGGGACACCAGACATGGGCTTCAAACATTATACCCATGTGGGTAATCGAACCCAGGTCTTAGTCGTGACCATCAAACCTTTAACCACTAGGCTACCCCACCACCCCTGTGAAAACAGGACTTTACCTTTTATATGAACAAAACAAAACCTTAAACTGTATAAAATTTTATTCTGACAAGCATGTACACAGTACATCCACATACACTAGTAATTTGTCAGGATGTAGATTGGAGACGGAACATAGGCCACCAGCTGCTGACATCACATCAGTCATCATCTTTGGTCAACATCATAAACAATTCACATCACTGTCCGTCAAACCTGGGGCCCGTTTCACAAAGTGATCGTAGCGCTACGACTGTCGTAAGTCTATGTTGAAGTATAGGAGTTACGATCATCTTATCGCTACGACAGTCGTAAGTCTATGTTGAAGTATGGGAGTTACGATCACCTTAGCTCTACGACAGTCGTAAGTCTATGTTGAAGTATGGGAGTTACGATCACCTTAGCGCTACGACTGTCGTAAGTCTATGTTGAAGTATGGGAGTTACGATCACCTTAGCGCTAAGATAGTCGTAAGTCTATGTTGAAGTATGGGAGTTACGATCATCTTAGCGCTACGATAGTCGTAAGTCTATGTTGAAGTATGGGAGTTACGATCACCTTAGCGCTAAGATAGTCGTAAGTCTATGTTGAAGTATGGGAGTTACGATCATCTTAGCGCTACGATAGTCGTAAGTCTATGTTGAAGTATGGGAGTTACGATCACCTTAGCGCTACGACTGTCGTAAGTCTATGTTGAAGTATGGGAGTTACGATCACCTTAGCGCTATGATAGTCGTAAGTCTATGTTGAAGTATGGGAGTTACGATCACCTTAGCTCTACGATAGTCGTAAGTCTATGTTGAAGTATGGGAGTTACGATCACCTTAGCGCTACGACTGTCGTAAGTCTATGTTGAAGTATGGGAGTTACGATCACCTTAGCTAAGATAGTCGTAAGTCTATGTTGAAGTATGGGAGTTACGATCATCTTAGCTACGATAGTCGTAAGTCTATGTTGAAGTATGGGAGTTACGATCACCTTAGCGCTACGATAGTCGTAAGTCTATGTTGAAGTATGGGAGTTACGATCACCTTAAGCTACGACTGTCGTAAAGTCTATGTTGAAGTATGGGAGTTACGATCACCTTAAGCTAAGATAGTCGTAAGTCTATGTTGAAGTATGGGAGTTACGATCATCTTAGCGCTACGATAGTCGTAAGTCTATGTTGAAGTATGGGAGTTACGATCACCTAAGCGCTAAGATAGTCGTAAGTCTATGTTGAAGTATGGGAGTTACGATCATCTTAGCGCTACGACAGTCGTAAGTCTATGTTGAAGTATGGGAGTTACGATCACCTTAGCGCTACGACTGTCGTAAGTCTTTGTTGAAGTATGGGAGTTACGATCACCTTAGCGCTATGATAGTCGTAAGTCTATGTTGAAGTATGGGAGTTACGATCACCTAAGCGCTAAGATAGTCGTAAGTCTATGTTGAAGTATGGGAGTTACGATCATCTTAGGCGCTACGATAGTCGTAAGTCTATGTTGAAGTATGGGAGTTACGATCACCTTAGCGCTACGACTGTCGTAAGTCTATGTTGAAGTATGGGAGTTACGATCACCTTAGCGCTATGATCACTTTGTAAAACGGGTCCCTGGTACTCTGTAAGCTCGGACCACTGTGTGCACCACTTTTACATTAAGCAAAGTGAACCTTGTATTATTTATATATTAATAAACCTTGTGTCAAACAATACAGAGATCTCTGTACATACTCTTTGAAACAGTATTTAAAAACACATTATGTAAGGTCTTCCTGACACATACTGCACAGAAAAGTTATAGTTCATGAATTTTTTGGGAGGATATTTTTATTTGTTTCTTCAATAAGGAAAAACATGCCCCAAACAATTCACGATCCTTCACATATTTGGTTCACAATAATTTGTACCATGACTTTTAATACATGTAGTTGCATGAAATATCACACTGGACACATATTTTCTTGGGTCCCCACAGACAGAAAGATCCTTAAAAAATTATTTCTTTTCTCCATGCAGCCATATTTTCTAAAGCAACTTTTTTGGAAGTCAGAATCCAGGAGCATCCTGGAAATCTTTGGTAATAATAGGCCACATAATAATATGAAATGTAATACAAATGGATTCAAGTGCCAAGTTCGGGTTAGTAGACATAAAAGAGTTTGCCACATACTGCTGATCGTGAAATATTCTTCCACCTTCGTCCACATCCTTTACCTACATGTGTAACCATGGTAACACTGCTGGTGACACAGGGCGATTAACTGTCTTTGCAGCCAACTCAAACATGCATACCCTTTGTATATCAATTTACAAATGGAAGGAAGGATTAGAAAAATACTGCTCATATATCATACTAGTACATGCATACACAGTCTGTTTACAAATGGAAGGAACAGCTAAGAAAATAACAGTGTACAACTCAAAGATATATACACTATCTGTTTACAAAGGTATGGAAGGATTACAATACATCCAAAACAAATGTGTTCACACAATCTGTTTACAAATGGAAGGAAGAGAAGGAAAGTAACCAGTGTACAATATTTCCACCAGTCAAACATAGCATCAACAAACAAACATCAACGGAAATTACGACAAAATGATAAATATTTTTTTTAAGATCATCATCACTATTATGCATATACAGGTAGTCACCAATGACAATCAAGATGAGAAAAGTAATAATCATCAGCAATTCAGCAAAATATGTATTTGTATTTCTAGTGACATTTCGCAAAACTGACAACATAGGGAGGAAGAATATAATTAATGTCCACTTCATTCTAATGTAACCTATTGCCCTCTTGGCCACAAGCCTTGGGGTCAAGGACCAGGCTATAGTGACTGTATTCAGGTTTTCCTATGAATATGAAACCTTTGGTGTGATGTGAAATGGGGTTTAAGTGTCTGTTTAACATACCGGGTAATTGCACTTATTTTGCCAAGTGTGTGAGAATGCTTGTACCAGTCCTGAGTAATGCTGGTTTTATTGAGCCAGCATACTGCTGCAGCTGAACATGGAAACTCACTCAGACACAGTCTACTGGCTTTGAGCCGACAGTCTGTGTTTTATGCATTAATGTCTAGCACCAGACAGGGTAAAAAACGTTTGACATGGCCTTGAAGTACTGACATGGCCTTGAACTACTGACATGGCCTTGAACTACTGACCTTTCACTCTCCAGGCAGACGCTCCATTCACTGGACCAATGAAGCAGTTATTGGTCATTCTGCATTTGAACATGAATACCAAACTCAGACATAGTACACTGGCTCTCAGCCATCACGCCTTGTTGTATCCCTTAATTCTGACACCATGCCCGGTAAAAACTGTTTGACATGGCCTTGAACTTCTGACCTTCCACTCTCCAAGCAGACACTCTATCCACTGGCAGTCTGACAAGCTATGAATGTCATGTTGAGGAAATAGTCCAGTGCAAAACCCAGGTAGAGTCGAAATAAAGTAAACTACAGTTATAGCAAATTCAAAGGGACCACTAGACTAAGGCTTAGTCTCTGAATATATATAATTTCGATAAAACAAACAATTATTTACAAATTGAAAAGGAGAATGGAGATTCAGAGCCTGTACCTGAGGAAATCTAGACTTACTTAATTTTGGGCTTTAGCATTGCAGGAGGGTCTAGGAAGAAGGTAAAAATAATGGGGTCAGACTACTGACTGACTGACTGAGTTTAGTTTTACGCCGCTTTTAGCAATATTCCAGCAATATCACGCGGCGGGGACACCAGAAATGGGCTTAACACATTGTGCCCATGTGGGGAATCGAACCCAGGTCTTTGGCGTGACGAGCCAATGCTTTAACCACTAGGCTACCCCACCGCCCCGGGGACAGACTAAGGGACCACAAACCCTTGTACTATGCATTTAGACGAAAAATATACAGCATGTGACCCAAACTGAAAAACCCAGTTCATTTTGTCAGTCAGTTCATGATAAGCGTGTTTGTTACAAGCATAGTTTATTGCAGTGTAAAAAACATAACTACAAGAGGTGGAAGCCAATTTTAGGGGCAGGAGTCAGCAGCATGATACTCCAGAAATACATTTAAACAAGACTTACAGGTGTTCACAGAAATAACTCAAAGGAAGATACAAACAAATCTTTGACATAAATATTTTCAAGACAATTACAACCATTGTAAAGTTACAAAATGGCAGGAAACACAAAGCCAAAACTATGGGACTAGCACACTTCCCCATCCACCTATTTCCTAACACACTTACGTCTTTGCACTTTCCATGTATTGATTATTTGTTTACTTCAGTCGTGATAAACATGTCAATACAGTAATATGCCAATAATCGAACACAATCGGTTTAGTGAAGTGACCCCTTCTCAGTCTACTGACACCTCAGCTTGTTCAAGGTGACTCAGAGGTCAAGTCTGTGGGTTCTTGTTTCTATAATGAACTTGCTCGATTTGTCAACTGCTTTGTTATCGGTGAAATTCATTTATAAAGAGATTACAAATAGTTTCAGGTGTGTGTGAGGGATCGAGCCATGGTGTCAATGTTGTTCCTGTCATCAATCATTTGGCCGATTGATCGTCCGCTTGAAAGATCAAAATACTGTGACTATGTGTCCCAGTCCAAAATCATGGACAGTTGTTTTCTAGCAAACTCAACAGTGTCAGGTGACAAGTCAAAATACACGGTCAATGTAAGCGCCATGATTTGACAATTTTTCTAATGTTAGATCAGCTCAATGTAAGCTCAGAATTGGAATTTATTGTCTTGTCACATGCTAAGCATCAATCAATGAATTTCAAAGATCCTAATAGAGGTATACTGGTAACCAAGCACCAATAACAATCACAACCACTGACAAAACTAAAGCTTACATGCGTCTCAGGGTGTTGAGAGAATCGGGTCAAACTGTGTACTGTGTTTTCGGAATGTTTCTGTATCGAAGCAGGTGCTGAATAAATCTGTAATCCTATTTTAGTTATCAATATTATTAATAATAATTTTGGAAAAAAAACCACACCAACCAATCAAAGAAAATTGTTAAACCTTTCCAGCCTAAGGGAGACAAGCACTGGGCTCTGTGGATTTATTTTTCCTAGAAATCTCTACAGGGAAGACAAGAATGGGGTACTGGGGACTTAGTCTACATGGAATCTGAGAGCAGGAATGAGATGGAATGTAAATGACAGGCATATGATTTGAATCACATGCTCAATATAAATGATATTCACAATCAATGTTATTTGGACAAATCAATTAAGTATGTCCAACAGAATAAAAAAATTATTCACAACAAGCCTCAGAGCTTTGGCATACCATCCATGTAGTCGTATTATGAGTGAGTGAGTGAGTGAGTTTAGGGACCGTTCATAACTTATGGCTGGGCGGGTGATAAGAATTTTTTTGGAGAAGATTGTACCAAGTGAATTACCCCCCCCCCAATAAAATAAAAATTTATGTACAAAGTAAGTGACCCGCCCTGCATGTCATGTACAAAATCAATGACCCCCTTCCCTTACCATCATTTTTATGCATATTTTAAAAAAATATTTCTATGTACAAAATTGCTGCCCCAAGTGCGTGTACAAAATTGATGACCCCCCCTGCCTCCCCAGAACAAATGGGCAACCCCTCTTAAAATCATCATCACCCCCACTACCCACTAGCCATAAATTATGAACGGTCCCTTAGTTTAATGCCACAGTCAGCAATATTCCATCCAGCTATATGGCAGCGGTCAGTAAATAATCGAGTTTGGACCAGATAATCCAGTGATCAACAGCATGAGCATCGATCTGCACAACTGGGATACAATGACATATGTCAATCAAGTCAGTGAGCCTGACCAACCGATCCCGTTAACTGCCTCTTACGAAGACAAAAAAAATAGTTGCCATAATTGTTCAATGTACAATAAATTCATCTTTTACTTTTCAATTTTCATTGTCTTATGCTGTGCTAAAATGGCAAATTTTATAATCAAAAGGATATATTCGACTCTCTGGTAGGAATAGGAAATATAACACACAAAAATATGTCATGAAATTATTTGCTTACCGACATAACAGGGCAGTTTTCTTTGTTGTTTAGTAAGATGATCTGAGATTTATATGAGATGATCTGTACAAAACTGAGTCTGGACCAGACAATCCAATGATTGATATCATGAACATTGAGCCTGACCACTCGATCTTGTTATTAGTCTCTTATGACAAGCAATTATAACCCAGATCTTCATGGACCAGTATTCTAATATTAATTCAAATTGTGTAGATTATGATAACTTGACATTTGACCGATGCCATTAAGTAACAGAAATACTGTTGTAGAGTATATTAATGCTACCTACTTCACTTGAACAGTGCAGTCCAAGAATATGTATGCTGAGTACCAGTGGTAACCTGCACTTACACTGACTGACTGATTAAGTTTCTTTTACGCCACTTTTAGTAATATTCCAGCAACATCACGCTGTGGGACACCAGAAATGGGCTTCACTCATTGCAACCTCGCGACCTGTGTGGGGATCCAAAGGCAGTCTTAGTGATTTTGCGAAGCGGACGAGCCAACGCTTCCAACCACTGATGATGAAGCTGCCCACACACCCTGCAGCCCACTGGCAAGCGTCCGTGAATTTGCAGTTACAAGTGGGACAACCATGGGCTACTGAGAACCAATTCTAACCCAAATCATTACACTGTAAACATGACAGGGTAAACTTTACAGGGTAAACCTGACAGAGTTAACTTCACAGAGTTAACTTTACAGAGTAAACTTGACAGAGTAAACTTCATAGTAAACTTCATTTCGTTTCATAGGGTAAAACTTGTGGAGTTTACTTCAGGGATAAACTTCACAGGGTAAACCTTATGGGGTTAACTTCAGTGGTAAACTTCATGTGGTACATCAAGATAACAGGTGTAGCAATCAAACCAACTGTTCGTGAGTTAACTCTTTACATCTATGGCTCATTTTCCTCCACATAAACAGGAAACTCAAAATGTGCTTAAAAATGAACACTTCATTGTCAAACTTTAAAATCAGTCTCCTGAGGAACAATCAACACAGTTAAAACTCTTCATAGAATAGTTAGAGTTGGTACATACAAGCACACATGGAAATGTTTCATCAATGTATCAATAATATATCTTATAAAAGAAATGAAATAAACTATTCACTATATGTGTCAATCGACACCTATCTCAAATCATTAAAGACACCTGTCCTGAGTTGATCAATTAACAACCGTCAAAAAGTCACAACTAAATAGTTTCAGAAGTCACATTTAACACATATATAAAAGTCATGAACAAACACCTATTTCAGGTCATGAACAACTCCTTTCCTGAAATAATAACAAACATACCTGTATTGATGAACACCTGTTTAAAGGTATTAATGTTTATGAAGGTCTGCGGTCACAAAGGTACACAAGGTCATAAAGGGACACCCCCTTCAAGGTCATGAATTAACACCTGTTCCAAGGTCATGAATTAACACCTGTTCCAAGGTCATGAATTAACACCTGTTCCAAGGTCATGAATTGACATCTCCTCGAAGGTCATCATTTGACACCTACAATAGGAGCTTGACTGCAAACATATCAGAAATCCAACATGATCTTACTCTCCGTTAAATGAGACGCCATGTTCTTGTGACACTTCAGCAAAATGAGGGGAGGTAGACAGAACAGCCCTCTGACTGCGGGACAAGTTGTTGTTTCGGATTGGACGCAAACAATATTTGAGTCCTAACAGGGATGCCATTTTCCCTTGATACACTAAACTAATTAAGCATGATATATACCAACAGCATACATTAACAAGTAACGCTAAGCAATATATTTTATATTATCATAAGGCCCATATGTTCAAAACACTCGGGTTATCTATTTAGCCACAATACCAAATTGTCACAGGTGTTAACTTTAACACCAAGATAATCTTTTGTTGGGTTAATATCTCACATGTTCTTCTTGTTAAAGATAACCGGGTTTTGAGAAACGCTTTAACCACTTGGTTAACTTTAACGGCCGGTTAAGAGTATTTAACCAGTGGTTAAAAGATAACCGAGTTTTGAACAACCGGGCCCAGATGGATATCTGTGTATCTTGATAAGACAATTTTGAGAAATTCTGACTCAGAACATGGCAACTGATTACAACAAGGTCAATTGCGATGTGACAATCATGTGACGATCAAACAGAATGATGTCATGGTATCTGTAGAGGGCAGTCAGCCATCTGTGACGTCTATAACAGTTACTGGTCAACAGATAGCTATAGTCCATTTGGCTCAAAAGCGGACCGATGAATTGCAATCTAACTTGAAAACTAATAAACATAAAATACTCAATGAAACACTGATCATAATCAAAACATCAGACCAACTCTGTGAGGTTTTTGCAGAATTTATGTCCTAAAAATAAAAAAGTTGTTTAACAAACTATCATTAAAATATGGACACAGATCACTATTTGTTACGAGGGAGGACTGCAGAGAAGGTGTGCGAGAAAGGATGGAGACGGCACAGCACAGGTTCACGAATCAATAACTTTGTCGGCACTTGTGCACGTGCTTCTCTAACTTCTTGCTGTCCCTTTCTCAGCACTCCTCCCTCGTAACAAATAGTGAAATGTGTCAATATTTTAATGATAGTTTGTTAAACAACTTTTTTAATTTTAGGACATAAATTCTGCAAAAACCTCACAGAGTTGGTCTGATGTTTTGTTTATGATCAGTGTTTCATTGAGTATTTTATGTTTATTAGTTTTCGAGTTAGATTGCAATTCATCGGTCCGCTTTTGAGCCAAACGGACTATACAGTCCCTAACAAATAATGACACTAAGTCATGCGACAATAAGCAACTTAAACCACAGAGAAGGAATCCCTGCACTTTACAACTGCATAAAGAAATGAGCCATGAAAATACAGATTCAGTCGGAGTTTCAAAACAGAAGATGACTACAAAAATATCACATTTTTTACAATACTTTCTCTTGTAAATGGACAATGGCAAGTACTCATGGTAATACAATATACCATGACACATAGCTCTCTCAAAATCTTTGGGACCATTGCAAATATACCAAGTTAATTATTGTTCAAAACAGCTGCCGGTTGTTTAATGGTGTACCTGGCAATATTCCAGTGATGCAATCGTTCTGTAAATAATAATGGACCAGACAATCCAGTGTTTGACCTTGAGATTATCGATCCATGCTGCTGGTGTACAGTGAAACAACATAAACTATTTCCCAGGCCGGACAACCAATCCACTGCATCGCCTAGTAACGATCAGATCAGGGTGCCATGGACCACTTTTATCACAGAATCCTCATGGCTGACAGACTGAGGTTGCTGGGAACTAGTTCTATCAGGAAATCCCCACAGGGAGACGAGCACAGGCTGCTAAGGACCAGTTTTCTCACAGAATCCCCCAGGGAGACAAGCATCTGGTGCTGGGGACCAGTTTTATCCCACAATCCCCACAGGGAGACAAAGATTGGTTGTGATTGAATCCCCACAGGCAGACCAGCACAGGTTGCTAGGGTCAGTTCTATCACATAATCCCCACACGGAGACAGACACAGGTTGCTAGGGTCAGTTCTATCCCAGAATCTCCACAGAGAGACAGACACAGGTTGCTAGGGTCAGTTCTACCCCAGAATCCCTACGGGGATACAAGCACAGGTTGCTAGGGACCAGTTCTATCTCAGAATCCCCACATGGAAACAGACACAGGTTGCTAGGGTCAGTTCTATCCCAGAATCCATACGGGGAGACAAGCACAGGCTGCTAGGGACCAGTTTTCTCACAGAATCCCCCAGGGAGACAAGCATCTGGTGCTGGGGACCAGTTTTATCCCACAATCCCCACAGGGAGACAAAGATTGGTTGTGATTGAATCCCCACAGGGAGACCAGCACAGGTTGCTAGGGTCAGTTCTATCACATAATCCCCACACGGAGACAGACACAGGTTGCTAGGGTCAGTTCTATCCCAGAATCTCCACAGAGAGACAGACACAGGTTGCTAGGGTCAGTTCTCCCAGAATCCCTACGGGGATACAAGCACAGGTTGCTGGGGACCAGTTCTATCTCAGAATCCCCACATGGAGACCAGCACAGGTTGGGTAACTGATTACTAAAACATGATATGAGACAACAGCACAAATATTCTGCTGGGACTATGAAAAACTGGAGATGACCATGTTCACTGTTGTAACATATACAACATAGGTCAGACTAACAGAAACGTTCCATTAAATAACATGGAAACAAAGGCAAATTTTACAATACATTGTATACTTATAAACACTTATCTTATGTCAAACTGTGGATTTCCTCCGTTTTCTTGACTGTGAGGAAATGACCCATAATCCTACTACCACTAATTGGCCACATATATGTCCACGCCGCATGGCCATGCTCTAAACGTATACAACATCATAGACATTATTACCTCAGATAACCCAAGCTGAAGGTTAATATGACTTCTACCACCGGGACCCCATTTTCAGCTGAGTGAACAGAGGCAATTTTGAACAAACTCAGTTGCCGACCACATAGGTGGTTCATTGTGGTGCAGAACATAAGTCCCATTCGTAACTACTCGCCTCTTTCTGTAACCTACAAGAAGACTCGTACCCCTATCGTACCATTATTGCCAAGAATCGTGGCAAACCAATCAAATCGTACGTAGTAAAACGCATTTGAAAGCATGAAAATGGCGGCACCGTTGAACTTTGAAACTTTGCTAAACTATGCAAAGCACAATTTAAACATAAACTTTGAGCTAAAGGAAAATGGCGGCACCGTTGAACTTTGAAACTTTGCTAAACTATGCAAAGCACAATTTAAACATAAACTTTGAGCTAAAGGATCAGAAATTTAAACACTGAAACATATTTATAAAGGGAATAACTGTATTGCTGTTTTGCCCACGGGATATAGGATATTCTATGACCCATGTTTGGAATTCAGAGTTATCTTTCCTTTGTAATAGTACTAGACTATTTTCATCTCCATGCCCGTTTGCACTTAGACAGGGCCCAGTCGTAAACATGGCCACGAGAGGGGTACAAGACGCCATGACACGAGTAGTTACAAATGCAGAAGTCCTAGACACTCTCACGACTCAAGCTGCCAAACATGGTCATCCTTGGACTCTCCGTGATCAATGTTGCTTAAAGGTCACATGCAACCAAAAAATCAAACATAATGAAAACACAATTATCACTTATTCATGACATATAATATGCATTGCTGATTATGAAAAAACAAATAAACAAAATTACAAGCGTATAAGATCGCAAATCAAAAGTGCAATATTTTGTACTTGGGTTTACCTCCCTCGAAACGAAGCAGACGGGATACCGAACCCAGTCAGAGCGGGTGGGTGTGCACTCAAGTGTAACGGCTGGTTCATTAGCAGATGCCGCCTTCCCGGCTGATTGTGTGTGTATATATAGAAAATTGGGTTTTGTAAATACATGCTCATTTTTTGTGCATAACATTTTGCAATCAACAGACATCATAACATGTCATGTGTTCAAGTATCACACCTGCCTGTCTGTGTAATTACATAATGTGACAGAGACCGAACTCGGGCCATAAATCAATGCATTTTGTTTATGGTGTATAGCCTGATTGGTGTTAAGTTCAAATTGCATGTGGTCAGTGATACGCGCAGTTGTGTATTGAATATTGTCATTAGCAGACAGGCAGGCAGACACACAGGTGTCAATAAAACAAGACATTGAGTTTTGTCTGTGACAGCGACATATCTATATCACGGTTAGAAATTGTGTCAACTCTAAATAATGACATTGCTTTTAAGTATCGAACTGAGAAAGTGACTCGGTAAGAAGAACGTGTGGTGAAATAGACAAATGAAATTATATAAACAGTTTATTTACTGTCATAACATACACAAAGCTCGCCCTGTGAGATATCAACAAAACATTAGGAAAATAGCTCACACCAAAGCCTTCACCGGTATTCACCAGACAGCCGGCTTCCAAGTTCGCGAACCTATTTCACTGCGCCGTGCTATGAGCGCAGCCCAGCTGTTGAAACCCGTATTCCCCAGAAAAGTCTGGGGAAATTTAGTGAAACGTTTGAACTCCGATTTCGCGCGTTTTTTTTCATCGCGTTATTTTTCAACTTTATAAGTTGAATTTGCATTTTTGACGCTTTGTTTCGGTAAGTCCATACCGAAAGGTATCAGAATCTGCAAAGTTGTGTTTTACGTTGCATGTGACCTTTAACTTCAACTGATTTGTGCCCTGCACTCTATGTACAAAGCCACACACCACCACACAACTCTAAACATATTTCCAGCTTAAAAACAACCAACACCTCCCAACACTGAGAACTGAGAAAGAAGGGCAAATGGATAGGTTAAAAAAATTGTTTCTTTTAAAAAATATTCTCCTGGGCGCGATGTTTTCTTTCTTTTATGATGCGGTTTCCTGTCTAGGCGAGCAGACGTGTACGTTCATCTGGCTCCTGGCCTATGTAAGGCTCTTCGTCAAGATGTCGCACTAGAGGACGTGTGGTGATGGTAAGTTGGAATTTTGGAAATCTCTTACATATGTGAAGAAAAACGACAAGAAAGTGAACGCTGTGAGCCATTCTCCAATTGTGCTGATAATATGCGCTGTGAACCCCTGTAGAGAAAGACAAAAACATAAATGATACACTGTCAAAATGGAAGTAAGAGATTTGCATGTACATATTGCCTACAGCTATATATATGCTACAGTATTTTTTCCTTACTGAAAATTACAATTGTGTCACTGCTTGCAATTCCGCCTTTCCTACACAGACTGGAGCAAAGATTCCCTTTACAAATGTATCTGAAAGTCTATTTATAGCAACATTAATGTTGGGAGTGCCTTTTTGTTTGGATGTCAAGTTCACACACTTCATGGAAATGAACGCATTTAAAATATGTTTGACTTCTCGCCTTAAAGTTTATATTGAAACATCTTTTGAACGGCCATTAATCTTCCATAGAGATTTCTAGAGGGACCTACATACAAAACTTAATTTTTCCAGTTTTTTAGTCATATTGTACATCATAACAAAGAGAGACATGTCGGTGTTTCAGTTTTGTATACAAGCTAGCCGAGGGTGGATCCTCCATGATCCCGCCACCCATGTCCTCACTAGTGGTGGTCCGATTAATTGAAATAAACGAATATTGGTCGCCAGAGCTCCAGATAAGATTTAGCTCATGTGGGTACAGTACCCACTGTATTTATTTGGAGTTGGTATTATGCATGTTGAGCGGGTATTTCATTTTCCGTTACCCACTGCTTTCATATATGTGCGTATTTCAGTCATTTTACTCACCTAAGTATTATGTCATTGAGTAAGTTTACTAAGCAGGTATGTTCTGCCTCATGTCATACCTAATCAAAACCAACTTAAATATAATGGAAATGATTTCATAAATAATCACTCATCCTATACTGAAAATACAACACTTGTCCTATACTATGAGTACAACTTGATAGCAATTGATGTCTTTTTCATTACGCAAGCGATTTTTATAAATATATTCCGTACGCATTTGTTTTAAACTTTTTGCGTATCTAACATTTTAAATGCGTAATTGGTACGCAACAATTATTTTTCAATGCATAATTGGCAATTTTCTATGGGTATTTTACCCAGATACGCAGCTTATCTGGGCCTCTGGGTCGCAGTGACCCAACAACCAAGCAGTCAGTCTATCTACTCATAATCAAACACAAATGATTTTGTCACTACTGTTTTAGTGTTTGAAACACCTGACGATGGAACATATCTTAGAAGTTGTCAGGGCCTGAAAACATGTTTAATTCTTAGAAAACTCACATCACTTACTGAAAAGTCACGACTGAATATTTTTTGAAGACTCCAGGAAGTTTGTTCATGATATATTAGTCAACACTGTAATTAAGTAGCAGGTTGCATCATGTTACATAGCTGTCAACCCCTGAGAGTTCCAATGAGTGAGAAACGGGGGTCCAGGGTGACGTCCTGGTTGGGGGTTGTAGGAGGGAAAGCCCCCAAGACAAATTGGATTTCAGGTTATTTAAAGATGATTGGTATGTCATTTGGTGCTAGTTTATAAAAAATTACAATACGTGAGTTTAGAGAGATAAAGCGTGAGTGCAAATACACTGAGGTAAAATGCATGAGTCTCATGAAGGATGTGTGAGAGTTGACAGGTAAGATGTTATACTTATCTGCAATATCAACCTGAATAGGAAAATCTTAAAAATGTCATGAGCCAATTTTTTTCGATGATTGCTCATTTGTAATGAACCGACCCGTGAAGATCCGGAGTAGAATAGGTCTTCAGCAACGCATGCTCGCCACAAAAGGTGACTAACGGGATCGGGTGGTCAGGCTTGCGGACTTGGTTGACACATGTCGTCGGTTCCCAATTACACAGATTGATGCTCATGCTGTTGACCACTGGATTGTCTGGTCCAGACTCGATTATTTACAGACCACCGCCATATAGCTGGAATATTGCTGAGTGCGGCGTAAAACTAAACTCACTCACTCACTCAATGAACCAATCATCAATTGTAAGATTTCAACCCAAGCAAACACTAGTACTCACTGGGTCCCCGTCATCCCACTTTAGCTTGGTCTTGGTGTGGGGTACTCGATTCCACTGGTACAAGGCAACACTGGCAGAAGCAATTGCTGGACACGGTCAAGGAAGAAACAACCTGTTTGTTGTGTAACACTCACTGATGTAATAATAATAATAATAATAATAATAATAATAATAATAATAATAATATAATATGGATTCTTATATTGCGCTAAACTCCACACCAAAGTGTGCTCAAAGCGCTAACAGAGTTCATAGATATCACGTGTGTTTACAGTCCATTTCTATTGAACAGGTACGTCTTAAGATGTTTCTTGAAACAAGCTAGAGTTGGAGTTGGAGTTTGACTCACACCTATGAGAGGGTAATGTGAATAACTGAGAATCTGATCTATCTTACCCAGTTACAATTACCCAGTCTACCACTTGGTAAACAACGTCCACATTCACTCACTCACTCACTTCAATTCAATGCTTTATTTTGACTAACAACTAGTCTCTGAAATGAACATATTTTACAGATGAAACAGATCATTATAAAATATATATAATATATATATATACTGAAAAGGAGCCCTGAGATTTCCTTCATTTTCCTGAAACTGTAGAAATGTAGACTTGCCACTTGCATGGGCTTTCTTTGTTTCAGCTTCTGTATGACAGACTATGCTATATTGTATGAGGCCCATATACAGCCGAGTTACATATGTTTGAATCTGAAGCAGAACAAACATAGATTGTGGTTAACAAAACGAAGTGGTGGTCCGATTAATTGAAATAATCGAAGATTGGTCGTAGTGACTAAACGACCAAGCAATCGATCATAATTTCTCATAATCGAACACAAACAATTCTGGAACACTTGTTTTCATTAACAATATTTTTCACAAGGTTAGTTTTGTCCGTTACATTTCGTAAGCACTACAGGTTCATTTCAAGTCATGATTGAATTTATCTTAAAGATTCCAAGAAATTTATGTTCCTGACATACTAGTCATCCTTTAAAGATGTGAAATTTTGCCAAAAAAACCCAGAAGAACTACATTTTTTTCCCCCTTATTTTAATCTGCATTAACAAATTTCATAAATGATGTTAACCAATTATTTTCGATGATTGATCGGTAGTAATGAACCAATCATCAATTATGAGATTTTAACCAATTCCCAACACTAATCTTAAAGCATGGTAGTAGGGTTATTGCAGGATAGCAGCTTCTTAAAATTATATATAGATATGAAGTCGTATGGCGCTAAATACTGAGTTGAACATAGATTAGGCATTCACTCCACGACACAAACTGCGCACTGCTGATGTAGAAAGGATACTGATGACGAGGCTAGCCAGGGAGGTGAGACAGACGGCGAGGCGGATGCGGCAGATGCGTAGGCCGTTGTAGTCGGGGTACATGTGGTATGAGATCCCTGTCTGGAGGAACGCGTAGATCACCCCACAGACAAACACCAAGAGGGCACCTGTGATGTGGACTGCCTCAACTTCCGTTCCCTCCTGGGAAATACAGTGAGTGAGTGAGTGAGTGAGTGAGTGAGTGAGTGAGTGAGTGAGTGAGTGAGTGAGTGAGTGAGTGAGTGAGTGAGTGAGTGAGTGAGTGAGTGAGTGAGTGAGTGAGTGAGTGAGTGAGTGAGTGAGTGAGTGAGGTGAAATTGGGTTTATCGTCGTGCTTGAGAATATTTCACTCATATGACGATGTGCATGCGTGTGTTTGTGTATGTGCAGCTGCTTGTACTAGCCCAGACTGAAGCTGGTTTTATAGTGCTAGCCAAACTGAGATACCATGCCGCAGTGAAGCATAAATGGTATGATGCAGTCGGGGATCGAACCCGCGACCTTCCGCTCTCCAGGTGGACGCTAGTGAGTGAGTAAGTGAGTGAGTGAGTGAGACACGTTTAGTCAATGGCATGTGTGGGTTCACATTGTCAGAAATAAAGGGGAGAAATGTCATACTGTTGAAACAGGTTCTGAGTGAGTGAGTAAGTGAGCGACAGATAATATAAGTTCAGTATTTGTATGCTTAGTGGGAGTGTGTGTGTGTTTAACTGAGCTTGCTAAAGTGTGAGCTAAACCATACCTCATTTTCAGTATGATCCAAATGACAAAACCCATGCAATCAAATTATATAATGTGATGTGAGATCACCTGGAAGTTTGCAACCATGGAGCAGCCAAGAGACGAAAAGATGCCCACCACCATTGTGAACCGGTTCATTCGTGTCAACCACCGATCTTCGCCCGTCGATATCGCAGCAATCACCTTGTACCGATGTACATTGTGCAGAATGCTGGAATGGGAGAAACATTACATAGTTTTTCGTTAGAAGAGTTGATTCTTGTATGTAGAATGGGATGGAGCAGAGCAGGGGGACAGAAGGTGACCTGAGGCGTACCTAACACCCAAAAAGTGTCACTTGTGGACCAATCACCAAGCTTGATATAAAATATTTTTAAGCAGCTACCTGACAGTGTTTTAAGAGCATGTTGTCAAAACATGATTACGTTATTATTATGTTTTACAGATTAAAGATAATATGCAGCAGAGAGGGTTCGGGTGATCTTGGCACAGTCAGGCTGGTAAGGCTCATCATCAGCTCAGGGCCCTCGCCCCTCTACACGCAGCCCAGACAGCGAATGGGACTTCTCCCAGGAAACACTGCCTAGTCGAACCCACCAAGAACTTTTAGGAGAATATGAAGGCTCCCCAACACTGCAGCCTTCTGCATTACCCAGAGTGTCAGAAGGGCTGTGCTCCTGGTGGAGAACCCGGCTACTCTCCTGATGATGTTCCAAGAGATCGGGAGGCACCAAACCAAGGGCACCGAGGACAATGGGGAGCCTGACGACAGTGTACTTTGGATGCAAGCGAGACATTTCAAAGGCGAGGTCCGCATATTTATCATGCTTTTCCTGAATCTTGCCAATCACATTGGTGTCAAAAGGGACAGAAAATTCAATGATATAAATAAATTCATTGGCTTTATCAAAAAGGACAAGATCAGGTTTGTTGGCAGGAATTCTTCTGAGGCTGTATATGGGCCTGTTCCATAGAAGTTTGAAAGCATCATTTTCCATGACGCCCTGGACATGTTCAGGGTCGTACCATGGATGGACCTCGGAGTCAAAGCCACAGGCATGGCGGAGACGGTAGTAAAAGCAACGAGCCGTGCCATCATGTCGTTTAAGATATGCTGTTTGTGCCAAGGAAGGGCATCCACTGACAAGGTGTTGGACAGTCTCTGTAAATTCATTACACAGTCGACATTTCATGGTAATATTTTCTTTAAGAATCATATTTAGGCGATTGCGAGTGGGAAGTGACTGATCCTGAGCAGCAAAAAGGAAGCCCTCAGTTTCACATTTAAGACCAGCCGACTTCATCCAGTCGAAAGAGTCAGTGGGATTGCTATTCTGTTCCACACACTGCATATACACACAAGGCAATGGCTTCTAGAAAGCTTCTCCACAAAAGACCGACTCTGGGCAGACTTGGTGAAGGACTTCACCTGGTTTACTCCCATCGCTGTACCGTCCAGCAGTACATCGCCATCAGCAAAATCAACCTGAAATTTTAGATTCTATCCAACAACCTATTATTATTATTATTATTATTGCTTACAGAGTATTGATTCAGTATACCCATGAGGTTCCTCTTTAATTTCTTCCCCGACCGAGTCATACCAAAAGACGTAAAAATATGGCACTTGTTGGTCCTTGCCTGGCGCTCGGCATTAATGGGTACAACAAGGACTGGTCGGCTCGGAGTCAGTATAATGTGTCTGAGTGGGGTATTCATGCTTCACTGCGGCATGGTATCTCATTGGGCTAGCACTATAAAACCAGCTTCAGTCTGGGCTAGTACAAGCAGCCGCACATACACATACACACGCATGCACGTCTGTCATATGAGCGAAATATTCTCAAGTACGACGTTAAACCCAATTTCACCTCACCTCACTGTCCCTGAACCACATTATTTTCCCTACAGCCTAGCCCTCTCTGCAGCTCTAAAGCCCTAAATGAAGCAAGTCTAGATTTCCTCAGGTTCAGGATCTCTGGTCTCCCTGGGGCTCCTTTCAATTTAAATGGGTTTATTTGTTACAATCAAAATTATACATATTCAGAGAATAAGCGTTAGTCTAAAATGATGTTATTGTTTGTTTATGCACACTCTATGAGTCTCTATACAAGGCCGTCATTAAAGAACTAGTATGCATTCAAATCATATTGTCAACTCCCTGAGGAGTATACAGTGTAAGGTAAGTTTGCGTCATCAGCTATCTGGATGTGGACTCACATATGAAAGCTGCCATGTTTAAGAACTGTCCAAAGACGTTGCTCTCTGGAATCTTTGCTCCTGTGTCACTGAAACAGACCATAGGTCAGGAACATTGTGAAATCTCTCCAGTAATTGAAATATTACATCTCTCTTTTCAAGAATGTTTTTTTCAAAGATAACCCCAAATAATTGGTACAGTGAGTGAGTGAGTTTAGTTTTATGCCGCACTCAGCAATATTCAAGCTATATGGCGGCGATCTGTAAATAATTGAGTCTGAACCAGACAATCCAGTGATCAACAGCATGAGCATCGATCTGCGCAATTGGGAACCGATGACATGTGTCAACCAAGTCAGCAAGCCTGACCACCCGATCCCGTTAGTCGCCTCTTACGACAAGCATAGTCGCCTTTTGTTGCAAGCATGGGTTGCTGAAGACCTTATTCTACCCCGGATCTTCACGGGTCTAATAGGTACAGAGTATATCCTAACCAAAGCACATCAAGGGTTTTCTCATCTCTGGTTAGTTTGTTTGTTTGTTGTCAAAGAAACAAAACAACAATCACTCATACTTGATTTCCGGTATAAAAATTGAACATTATTATATCAGCATCTCATCCAACAAGAGTGCTGGAATGTACTAGAATTTGTTGTTTAATGCCGCACTCAACAATATTCCAGCTATATGGCGGCAGTCTGTAAATACTCGAGTCTGGACCAGACAATCCAGTGATCAACGTCATGAGCATCGATCTGTGCAATTGGGATGCGATGACATATTTCAACAAAGTCAGCGAGCCTGCCCACCTGATCCCGTTACAACATCGCATGGGTTGCTGAAGACGAAGTAGGGCAACAACCAATCCAACATCTACATATCATGAATAGTGGGTAACAAATACAAATATTGGGTAATGCATACAAACAATGGTAACAAAAATAAGAACAAGTCAGCATTTAATGTATTATTGATTATATTCCATGAAATAATAACAAAACACATCTTTTTATATGTCTTGGCCATGTTATTTTATGCTAATTTATCTCGACAGTGACCAGTGACCACAACAGTGTCACATAAAATACATAAGGGCGTTGGCTTCTATCATGAGCCTGTTTTGGATGCATTCCATTTTGCATATCATATCTCACTTTGATAAATAACACCCAAATTGAAGAAAAAGCACTCCCTTTAAAGAATTCATGAATAATTGAATAACAACTTGAATTCATGGAAGGATGTATTTGATTCACTGAATACTTGAGTGCAGAACCTGTTAACATTAAAACCTCTTATTATTTATTGGTCCTGTTACAGGTGAGTGAGTGAGTTTGGTTTTACACTGTTTTTAGCAATATTCCAGCAATATCATGTATTGGTGTTCTGTTTAATTGAAATAATCGAAGATTGATCGCAGTGACCCAATATCCAAGCAATCAATCACATTTTCTCGATCACGTGTTCTGGTCTTGCAGTAAAGTCAACCATATCTGGCAAAAACTTGAAATCTGGCTAAATCATAAAGCTCTTGTCAATATCAAAGTATCAAGAAAACAGGTATTGCTCGGTTTCCCAGACAAAAACAATGACCCTCTCAATATTATTATTATTATCTTTAAAGACCTAATTTTTGGAAGCAGATGAAAAAACAGTGTGCCACCTTTCCATGTTTTCCAGAATGAAATTAGACATTATTATATGATAACAAAGTGCTCCTCTTTAATGGAGTGTAATATCAGCGCCTTTTATAAGTTGTGGTCTTCATGTCATGAACTGTTCACATGATTTGTACATCATATGCTTGTATTGTATTGTAACCTGAATGTCCTTTGTTGAGTTTTCGAAATAGACTGTAAAACATCTTTAAAAACAATAAAATTAAAAAAATAATTAAAAAATCACATTTTCTCATAATCGAACACAAACGACATTGGAACTGCTGTTTTAGTCTTTGAAACACTTGACGATAGAACATATCTTCGAGGTTGTCAGGGCCTAAGTAAAAACATTTTTAATTCTTAGAAAACTCACTTCACTAACTCAAACGTCATATTAGTCATCACTTTAAAGTAGCAAGTTGCATCATGTTATACTTATCTGCAATAACAACCTGGATTGGAAAATCTGAGAAATGATGCTAACCAATTTTTTTCGATGATTTCTCATTGGTAATGAAGGCTGAAGCAATCATCAATTGTGAGATTGCAACCAATTCCCAACACTAATAATAGTAATATCATGGCAGGGGACACCAGAAATGGGCTGCATACATTGGACCCATGTGGGGAATCGAACCAGGGTCTTCGGAGTGATATAAATGCTTTAACCATTAGGCTACCCCAGTGTCCCTGTTACAGGTGAATACTAAATGCTTGTACAAATCTGCAGCTGTTACATTAATTATCAACATTCCATCAATTCTACTAAAACTTGCTTCAGACTTGAGCTGAATGTCAGCCTCAGAGCAGGTGAAGATAAATTCCTGATTTTAACATAATTACAGGACTGCAAACATTGTCCAAACATTTTGTTGAAGAATACAATGCTGATAAGAGTTGAACCCTGTCACATGTCAAAGACTGCACGTGAGGCATGTGGTTCTGATATGTTCCAGTACCTGATGTATGGAAATGCAGCCGTGATGTCACCTCGTACAACAGCGATGACGTAGGACACAACAAATGTCCCTGCTGCCAGCAGAACGAGGCAAATCGGCAGGATGCCTAGCCATGAATACATGGTGATCTCTGAAATTAAGAGAGTGATTGAGTTAAGTTTTACGCCGATTTACAAATATTCCATCAGTATAACGGTGGGGGACACCAGAAATGGACTCCACACATTGTACCCATGTGAGGAATTGAACCCAGGAAATTGCCGTGACGAGTGAATGCAATAACCACTAGGCCACCCCACCGCCCCTGAAACAAAGAGAGACTGTTTAACAACACTACTTGACATCTAATGGTGTGGTCACTTTTAGGAGGTAGTTAGTAGTGGTGTTCCGATTAATCGGAATAATCGAAGATTGGTCGCAGTGACCAAACGACCAAGCAATCGATCACATTTTCTCATAATCGAACATAAACGATTTTTTAACTACTTTTTTAGTCTTTGAAATACTTGACAATGGAACATATCGTTGAAGTTGTCAGGGCCTGAAAACTTGTTTAATTCATAGAAAACTCACTTCACTAACTGAAAAGCCATGACTGAATATTTCTTGAAGACTCCATAAAGTTTATGTTCATGATATATAAGTCATCACTTTAAAGTAGCAAGTTGCATCATGTTATACATATCTGCAATAACAACCTGGATAGGAAAATCTGAAAAATGACGCTAACCAATTTTTTTCGATGATTGTTCGTTGGTAATGAAGCAATCATCAATTGTGAGATTTCAACCAATTCCCAGCACTAGTAGTTAGTAGGATTTGGAATTCCAGACAACAGAAGCAGTTGCCACGGCAGCTAATGGAACGGACTTGTCCTTCTTCATTGGAGGAGATGTTACATGATTCCAGTGACTCTTTAGTCTCTGGCTCACAGTGGGGGACCCAAGACTTGTCCTCTTTCAGTACAAACTGCTCATCAAGAAACAGCTGTGTCAGCTCTAATATGACATAATCTCCGAGGAGATAATGAAAACAGAGTGTTTCAGAAGAGGACTCATGTAGAGCATGGAAATGTGATACCTCCAACATGTCCAAACTGATAAGCCATACCATGCAACCTTTGTAGTTAGGCTAAAACCTTTCAGATTGAGTATGGTTTTACACCGCTTTTAGCAATATTTCAGCAACATCACGCAGGGGACCCCAGAAATGGGCTTCACACATTGTACCCATGTGGGGAATCGAACCCGGGTCTTCGGCATGACGAGTCAATGCTTTAACCACTAGGCTACCCCACCACCCTAAAAACCTGATGGATTTGAATTGAATACACCGTAACACTGCGAGACATATCTAGGTATCATTGCTGAAATGACCCTCCATTATACCATAATAATAAAAATAATAATACTTTATTGCCCAACAAAGGAATTCCTTTTACAACAGTGAGACATACAGCATGGTTAAAACAAATTAAGCAAAGGACAACGATAACCAAGTGGTATTGCATAAAACAGATACTCTTTTCAAATGATCTTACTGATTAAATGCTTGTTCCATTGTACAAAACAGCCCTTGTGCTATGTGTATGACTGTCACTCAAAGTCCAGTTGCGGATCCAGGGGTGGTGTGGTGGGGGGGGTGTTTGCATGTACAGAATTCAAGGTAATCAGAACCACAAAAAAATTTTTAGGCCTAATTAGAATCACCTTAGCAGTAACATCTGTTTGTACGACACCCAGATCCTAAAATTTGAAATTTAAACTTGTTGAAGAAAGATAACTGATTAAATACAAGTGCTTCAGTGACGTGAAACCTACTTTCAATTACAAGCTTTTTCATAACCTTGGGCATGCATGCATGACGTACTAGTCTTGTACTATGAGCGTCAAATATATACTTTATAATATATACTTTACAGAACTGAAACCAATCTAAGTTATGAAAACGAAACAAGTCAAGCTCTATTCCACACCATCACCAGGAAACATTTAAAAATATATTGTATTATAAATTATTTCGCAGACTTGTTTGTCTAGGGTGATACATGCTTTGTATTCCCGGCCCTTGGTATTGTAACAGTGATGTAACTATGGTAAATAAGGTCAGGGTTCACTGTGGCTTAGGGATTTGTGTTTATCCTGGGGAAATGATTCCTGAAGCTTATTAGAAATCAGGGGACAATTCAATTTATGCAGCCCCGTGAAAATCCGGGTTAGAATTTTCAGCAGTCTGTAAATACTTGAGTCTTCGGCAATCCAATGATCAACAGCTTGAGCATTGATCTACACAGTTGGGATACAATGACATGAGTCAACATATCTGCATTGACCACTCAATCCCTGATCTACACAGTTGGGATACAATGACATAGAGATCAACCATACATATATAAATAGAGTATTATATATGTGACTGGTCTATGTTTAACCTACATGCCAATAACGGGTTCCTGTGGTCGCCTCTTATGATAAGAATGTGTTGCTAAAGACCAACTCTGACCCAGATCTTTATACAGGTTCTCAGTAGATGTGCAAAGTATGAATCAATATAATGCAAAAACTTTATTAGTTACTTGTGATATCTGGACCGTTTTGGCTATAAAAATGCTATATAAATTGAATTAATTATTACGTAGAAAATGTACATGACAAAGGAGGTTTATTTTCGTTTAAACATGGCCATCAAATACATCTGGCATATGTTTTATCAATTATATTTGATCTTTATGAATAAATAAATAATCTGCCAAGTATTTGACGCTTAATACAACTTCGCCAGCTGTTACAGTGTGCACACCGTAAAATTTAAAAAACACAGATATGCATTAGGGACACGAATTACTAATGTTTTCACAAAACACCGATTCTATTCACTTTCGGTTTGCTGACACGACAATGGACTCTTTGGAGGTAATGTTGTTGTCAGCTGATGCAGTTCCTAAAACGTACCTTGTTTGGTGGAGGTGGAACCTGCGTCTGTCTTCACTCCCTAAATGATACCGAGCAAGTTATAACACCTGACGAGCTCACGTGAACTCACCAGCATTACAATGCCCTGCACTAGGAAGTATTTTACAATTAGCCGTCACCGGCACGTGAATGAATGATAAAAGTAAATACCATTTAATGATATTGTCCTACGTAAATTTACATCCATCTCAACTTTTTAATTCCATTTATGCCCTCTGGTGGAGAATTCCGTGAATTTTAAACCTATGAAGAATTAATTCGTTCAATTAGGTTTAAATGAAGGCATATTTATCAGTATATAAGCTTAAATGTTATCAATAGTACTTGATTAATAACAACCTTGAAACTTGTTGTGCTTAACTAGCATGGAGGCTATTTTTACCTTGCGAAAAACCAAAACAATCCCTAAGGGCGGTAACTCCTCTGAAAGATTACCTGTTTCGATGGTAGCGTGCGCGACAAAATATATTTCTGTTGTTTCTATAAGTCTTATCGAACGTCTTATATTTAGGAGATAAACCTACTGTGTGGGAAAATCAGAGGTATATAACGAAATTATAATAGCTCTAAATTTCATTTTAAAACCGAACGCGTAGCGTGAGGGTTTTAAATGAATTTCAATTAGAGCTATTATAATTTCGTTATATACCTCTGATTTTCCCATAGGTTTATCTCCATTCTACCATGACAATTTTATGAACAATTTCAGGTGGAGCTCTTTCTTTGGTTACGAGTCAATACGTGAAGCGGCCTCGCATTCCAATCTCAAGTGGTATCGCCCGAAACGGGGTGTTTGGTGGCAAACCGTCAATGACTAACAAACTCCAGATTCAGTAATAACAAATCACGTTTTGTTTTCAATGCATCAATCACCAATCATTAACTGATAAGTTGGAAAACATATATCAAATAAGTTTCAAAAAGCTTGGTTCACATTTGAAAATTCCACCGTAGACCCTTTCCCCACCAGAATAGTGGCAGCAACCTCATGGCCTTGACCTTTTCTCGAAGTCATTGTTTACATTTGGAAAGATGCGACAGGAGAGCCACTGACAGTTTGCGCAAGGTTAACCTGATTGTATGACTGAGATAGTCTTTGATATCTAATTACTGGTACTGGTACAAAATTTAAGAGTAGGGGTGCTTTTGCTGTAACGAGAAGTCCGTGTTGTACCGAATTTAGATACTGTTGAATTTTGCGCCCTGTCAACTTGACGATTACACGCACCTCTACGTCTGCGTGCGACAGCTGTGGTGACTCTTACACACTCATGTGTGTACTTTGTGCTCAAATTCGATTCTACGGATATTATTTTCTACATTTTGGAAAGTATTTTGTGACCTAGTGGCTTCAAAGTGTAGTGAATTCAAATTGAATCGGATTGGCTGGCATGTTCGCGAGTCTGTTGACAAAGAGCCAGATTTGTGGTGATATTTCCGAAAGGATGGATCAGGACACGAGGGTGTACCTCTGGCATAAACACGGTAAGGTAATTAATTATACTTTAATAGACTACTTTAGATCAAGCAGTGTAATGGATAAGAGGAATCATGACTAAGCTAAATAACTTTTTCAACGATATTATACATTTAGAAAAAAAATATGTTGGGCTAAACAGAACGGTTTGCAGATTCTGTAGATCTAATTGTGTTTTACTACCGCTAAATTTGAAACAGTACAAATTTCAAAATATCATTTTGTTTGAATTGATAACCCAACTGTTTATTTATGTGGACGGAAGGCATTAGAATCTAAAATTTCTTCGGCGTTCGATGTTAATGCATCCTCCGTTACCGGATCAAGATCAGTGGCGATATCGTTGACGAAAGCTGATAATAAATTTAACACGGAAATTTTGTAGCAGTCTATTGCTGGATCTATTCTGACATAACATAGAATCAACGTAAACATATTTGTTTTGCTGAATTTTTATTCGGGAAAGCAGACGATGTTTTGATCTTGTTCGACTGAATATTTGTTTCCATGCTTTCGAAGTACTTTTGTATATATAAACACCTATTGCTGTGATTTACGCAAGTAGTGAGTCGTGCCCGTCGTCGCTAAATCCATCTTTAAAGACATATGTGTAATTTCCGACAGTAAAATCGCCGTAATTTATCGATGCATCGGTAGGTTGTTCGGTGTCCGCCATGTTAGTGGGCAGACAAAAATAGTGCATTACCGTAAACCATGTATGATTGCGCACGGAAAACAGAGACCTGTATAACGTGATTATATACCTCTGAATGACTTTAATTAACCAATCACAATCCAGTGTTTACTGAAGTCATGGTAGAATTCAGATTATTACCCACGTGGTCAACGTATGGGTAGTTGCATATTAATCTCGTACGTCACAACACGTGAATTCATTCATTCTACAACTTAAATGCATTGTGGGAATGTAAACATTGCGAACGTTGCCGTGTCGCTGTTTAATTGTGAGTCGAACTGAGACATTATATCCGTCGAAAAACATAAACGCAATGTTTCCACCAGTGATGTTAGCCGAATGAAGCAGCTGGAAACTAGAGAAACGAGGTGCAACGGAGTAGTTTACTGTAGGAGGCCGTACGAGGAGATGACAACTGACATGCATCGTGACGTCGGTTACCATGGCAGTGACGTCATTAGTGTGACGTCATGCAAATATTGTACTACAGTACAAAACGCTTCCGCAACCTCTTTATGAAACCGGTTTCGGTTTGAAACCAAAAACATAACAAAAATACGCTATTTTGTCAATTTAAATGCATGTAAGACGTGGGTAATAAATAAAATACCACACTCGGTCTCATTACATACGAATTATACGAAACTCGTGACCTTCCTATGTTATCTGACCTCGCTTTCGCTCGGTCAGATACCATAGGAAGGACACTCGTTTCGTATACAGACAGACAGACAGACAGGTTTTATTCAGTAATGTAGGCACAGTGGCCCATAGTACAGTTGAATTTTCATTTTAACAAATATTGGTCACGTGACACGAAATTATGGTTTTACATGTGATTTAAGGATGGACATCAAATGTTTTATGAAAATGGCAGCTGATTTAATAGTGTCATCGTTATTAGAATTAAGTATTTTATATATCGTTTGTGGGGCATCATTAAAGCATTTTAGATACTTCTTTCGGCCAGCAGAGAATGCCTCACAGTCTAATAATAAGTGACGTTCGTCTTCAGTTTTACCAGAAGAACAATGAGAACATGATAAATCTTCCAATGTATTTTTATCTTTTCTATAACGCTGTATTTTTAAGGCATGTAGAGAGATTCTAAATTTACAAAAATTTCTTAAAAGGGACTTATCATTAAGGACCCTAATATATTTTCAGGTCCGAACATCGATTTACATTGTGAATAATGACTTAGAAAACTCGATGAATTTACTGATGCGTGCCAATTCTGAATATATATATCTTTTATTCGTTGCTTAAAAGTTAACAAAAACATTTTTATATCACCAACATCTTGCTTAAACCAAACATAAGAAAACCCGCTTGAAAATAACACATTTCGGACACCAGAAGCCCAAGAATACTTTCCACGTTTGTCTAGGGATAATAATAATTGATAGCTTTGATAGGGTAGCGATAATCAGGCATTCTTATAAGTTTAATCCAGTATCTGATAGCTCTCATTTGACTCTCAATATGCATGCTATAGCGGCCTGTATCGCCAAGTACGGCTTTGTTGGAAGCAAATTTACCTACAGTAAGAAATCTTTTAAAATATGATGCATGCACATTTTCTATAGCTTCGAAATAGTTTACTCCCCAAATTTCAGATCCATATAACAATATTGGTGCTATTTTAGTGTCAAAAAGTAAGCAAGCTGAGTCAAATGAAATAAACTTATTAGCCTTAAACAGTTTAAAAATAGGAAATAATGCCTTCTTAGCTTGTATAATTCGTATGTAACGAGACCTCGTGTAGTATTCTCTATTTATTACCCACGTGGTCAACGTATGGGTAGTTGCATATTAATCTCGTACGTCACACGAGTGTCGTATCGCGTTGACCTGTGTCGTAACGACTTGACCTGAGATTCTAACGATTTGATTGGATAACCGATGACCTCTCAATTAGGTCACATTCTGACGTAACTATTTTTTCATTCGTAACAAACACGTGAATTCATTCATTCTACAACTTAAATGCATTGTGGGAATGTAAACATCGCGAACGTTGTCGTGTCGCTGTTTAATTGTGAGTCGAACTGAGACATTATATCCGTCGAAAAACGTAAACGCAATGTTTCCACCAGTGATGTTAGCCGAACGTAGCAACTGCAAACCAAGAAACGGGGTGCTACGGAGTAGTTTACTGTAGGTGGCTGTACGAGGCGATGACAACTGACATGAATCGTGACGTCGGTTACCAAGGCAGTGACGTCATTACAGTGTGACGTCATGCAAATATTGTACTACAGTACAAAACTCTTCCGCAACCTCTTTATGAAACCGGTTTCGGTTTGAAACCAAAATATTAACAAAAATACGCTATTTTGTCAATTTAATGCATGTAAGACGTGGGTAATAAATAAAATACCACACTCGGTCTCATTGCATACGACTATACGAAACGAGTGTCTCCAGATACATAAGGACATTATATTCTTATGTAATGAGACCTCGTGTAGTATTCTCTATATACGTTTGAAACTAGCTCACATAACAAATATTTTTTACCAAACTCAAATAACGTGGGAATTGGAATAAGAATGTTTATCATCCATAACTGTGTTCCACAAGAGATATTGCTTGTGAGAGATCATACAATATCTCCTAGGATATCGTTTTGACATTAGATTTTGTACAATGCCTTCACAATGCTCTGACGTCATAAAGTAGATGACGTCATAATGCTATGCCTTCGCTGCACTGCAAGTCTAATGGTAGTACAGTGTTCAGAGATTTACATTTTTCATTGAAAAATATTGAAGAATGATTTTTGATGATAAATAGAATCTCACCCAAGTGTCTTCTGATATCAAATATATCAACACACTCGTTGATATATTTGATATCAGAAGACACTTGGGTGAGATTCTCTATAACGTGCTTCATTTATTTATGTCTGTTTATCCTAGAAGGAATGATGAAAACATGTTATCATCGTTGAAAACAATTATCTTATCCAATGGTTGCGGTTGAAGTCACACTAGGACACGACAGACTTTCAATGTAATATCAGCTTTGTGTCCTGAGAGAAATAATCTTAATTTTGCCCTACGTTTAAAGAATTAATTATTATTTACATCTCAAATTACTTGCTTGATTATTTCATTATATTTGTCTTGAGTAATTTATCGACGCCATATATAGATGCCATTGTTGATGCTATCCATATACCATTGTTGACGCTATCCAGATACCATTGTTGACGTTATCCAGATACCATTGTTGGCGTTATCCATATACCATTGTTGACGTTATCCAGATACCATTGTTGAAGTTATCCATATACCATTGTTGACGCTATCCATATACCATTGTTGACGTTATCCAGATACCATTGTTGGCGCTATATAGATGCCATTGTTGATGCTATCCAGATACCATTGTTGACGCTATCCAGATACCATTGTTGACGCTATATAGATGCCATTGTTGACGTTATCCAGATACCATTGTTGGCGTTATATAGATACTATTGTTGACACAATCCAGATAGAATAGAATAGAATAATACATATACTTTAATGCCTTTTCAGGAAGTTGTGTTACATCAGCAGAGCTTCTAACACATCAGAGAGATACAAAACATATTTACATAAATTCTTTGATTTGGGTATCTTCACATTTGTTTAAGAGAGATATGGTACTTGGAATAAAGGATGTACGGGATCTCTTAGTTTTCACAATTAGAACGCTCATATATTGATGATAAACATTCAAATCTGACTCCAGCGACTTTACTTGCAGTGTTAACAATTTTGTCTATTTTAGATTTGAGATGAACTGAGAGAGACCCATTTCCGTTTGCACACACTATTGAGAAGCGGGGAAAGGGGGTAGGGAGATGTGCACATTTCATTTTCACCCACGTTTCACTGATCATTTAATACTCTTTCAGGATAAAAGGGGGATGGGGGTGCAAAGATTAATAAGATTCTTTCCTCTGAGTATGAAATACCAACTTCCATATCATTCGTCCCCACTCGTCCCGTTCCGCAAACCCCATGAAGACGATTCGGACTGACCCGGAATAACACGAGTGGGTCACAAATGCTTCTGCATAACAATGACCCGCGAAGATCCGGGTTATTGATCTTCAGGTAACTAACGGGATCGGCTGGTCAGGCTCGCTGACTTGTCATCGTGTCCCAATTGCGTAGATCGATGCTCATGCTGTTGATCACTGGATTATCTGACTTTTTTTTTACAGACGCGCCAAATAGTGTGGCGTAAAACTAAACTCACTGATTCCATATAACAGTGCAGCTGCGAATATTTTCATTCGTTGCTTAATATTCGGTCAGAAGAATCGTATGGAAGCAAAAGATCTCATTTCATAGAGATTATTTTTTCATCTACTGATATGTGCACGACAAAATGCGACCTTGTCTTCCAGAGAATAAGTTATCGATGATACCACGCATTCGGTCAGCTGATGTGGATTAGAGTGCAACAAGCGACGGTTCAAGTGTACATACTTTTACGGCCGCTTCTTCGCCAAATGCAGGCGCTGGTGAAGATCCTTGGTTGAGTGAGCTTGTATCAAACACTTTCATAGCAGATCACCAGCGAGCGAGCGAGTGAGTGAGTTTAGTTTTACGCCGCTTTTAGCAATATTCCAGCAATATCACGGCGGGGGACACCAGAAATGAGCTTCACACATTGTGCCCATGTGGGGAATCGAGCCCGGGTCTTCGGCGTGACGAGCGAACGCTTTAACCATTAGGCTACCCCACCGCCCCCAGGCGCTGGTGAAGATCCTTTGTTGAGTGAGTTTGTATCAAACACTATCATAGCAGATCACCAGCGAGCGAGTCATTTTTTTTAATTTTACGCCGCACTCTGCAATATTCCAGCTTTATAGCAGTGGTCTATAAATAATCGTGTTTGGACCAGACAACCCAGTGATCAACAGCATGAGCATCGCTCTACGCAATTGGGAACCAATGACATGTGTCAACCAAGTCAGCAAACCCGACCACCCGATCCCCATAGTTGCCTCTTACGACAAGCATGGGTTGATGAAGATCAGTTCTAACCCAGATCTTCACGGGTCTCGGAACACCAGCACTAGGCTTCACTAGACGATCTTACTGGCGACTCAAGACACCATACACGTGGGTTTTTTTAAAACCGACAGTGTAAATGTATGCAAGTACCGTGTACGCTGGACAATATGTTAGAAACACAGACAACGCAACACACGCACATCTTGACCTTGGTAACTTTTATTGTCGAAGTGTTTGCACGTGCTGTGACTTTTCCTGAAAAGTACAAAACAAAAAAGATATAACTTTGCATTGAAATATACACCGGTTTTGTTCGAAACGGCGACTAAATGAGTGCTGCAGCATGGTGATGTGATGGCGTTTAATTAATACGACAGCATGTTTCGTTGCTAACGTCATCGTTCCTATCACTGTCTGGTCATGACTCGGTAATTTTAAAGGTCGCCTTCATATGGCTGGAAGTGCGTTGTTACAATATGCATCTAGTTATGAGACAATTCATACAGTTTGAAAAAGAGTGAGTGGGTGAGTGAGTGAGTTTGGTTTTACCCTGCTTTTAACAATATTCCAGATATATCACGGCAGGGAACACCAGGTGGTAGGGCTGAAAGGGTACGCTCTTACCTCGGTACGGTACGTATTACGGTACAAGACCTTCGGTTCGGTCCGTTTCGGTTCGGTATACGAGGTATTATCATAATGCAGAAAATTGACAACAAGAGCCAAACCTTTCATTGTTTAATAACATGGAAAAAATAAATATAATCTTTGTTATTTTAATGAACAAAACTGTCATTTATGACTAGATAGAAATGACTGTATGAAAACCGAAAATATCGATTTTGTTTATTGCATTACGGTATACTGAAACGAAGGCAAAATACCGCGGTTCTACTAATGCCGCGGTATATCGTTTATCCCCTACTGACTGAATGACTGAGTTTGGTTTTACGCCGCTTTTAGCAATATTCCAGCAACATCACGGCGGGGGACACCAGAAATGGGCATCACACATTGTACCCATGTGGGGATTCGAACCCGGGTCTTCGGCGTGACGAGCCAACGCTTTAACCACTAGGCTACCCCACCGCCCCCGTTTATCCCCTAAGAAATGGACTTCACACATTGTACTCATTTGGGGAATCGAACCGGCTCTTCGACTCACCACCGGCCAGTTTTACAAAGAGGTCACTATCTTCCCGGCTGTGGTGAGATGGGATTAAATGGGGTTTAACGACGCATTCTAGACAATGTATAAAACATAACACCTAGGCCTACAGTCATTCTTTTATCTCGTTCAAGGCGAGTCAGACAGGATGACAATATGTACCATCTTTTAATATCTGTGTTACGATGTGGCCTGGGGATCGAACACCGACCTTCCGGAACACAATGTCCTTAGTGATGATTGAACCAACCCATTTGATCATGAATGGATAACAATATTTGTAGGTTATTATAGTGTATGAAATTCTGGTCGCTAAATGTACACCTCTGTGAATGAGGGTTCCACTGAGCCAAGCCTTACCGGAGTCAGGAAGCAGGAGACAGGAGGATGTGTCCCCCGTCAGCACCTGGGAGTCTGACACACGACACGGTACGAGTAGTTCATACGGGCACCCTTCCAGTTGTACGTTGGAGCCCTGGTAACAGTCGGAGTAACACTGTACTACTTAATACTTAATACATTCAAACAAACGTGTGTGTATATAAAAGGAAGGGAATCAGATGGTCACTTATTTGTTTCGGAGCATATTCTTACTCATTCATCTGAGGAGTGTAAGCTCGACTGCAGAAAACTTATACATGTACATTTGGGAAGGACATGAGTAGTACGGAAACAGTTGAAGCCAGTAGTTCATCATACCTTGTAATACTAATCATATATACATATATATAAATTCTACTCAACACCACCAGTGTATCTATGCCATTATACTTATACTTATCAAACATATTATCCTATCTACTTATCAACTTTATACTAATAACTTACTTCAACAATCCCACGTTATATTAACCCTACTTACATCAACCCACGGATATATTAACCCTAATTACTTCAACCCACGGATATATTAACCCTACTTACTTCAACACAATATTAACCCTGCTTTATCCTACGGATATATTAACCCTACACTTCAACACATAACTTATCTTAATCCTGCCGACTTGGTCATATTACCCTGCCTACTTCAACACATGGGCGTATTAACCATATAAGTACCTTTTCAACACACGGTTATATTAACCCTATCTAATTCAACCACAGGCAAACTGTAGCGCATTACAGGGTTGCGCAACAAAGAAGAAATGACCAGTCTTCGTATATGCGAGAGCGACGAGCGTCGCTCGCATATACGAAGACTGGTCATTTTCTCTTTGTTGCGCAACCCTGTTTGCGCTACAGTTTGCCTGTGATTCAACACAGGGGTATAGTAACCTACCTACTTCAAAACACGGGTATATCAACCCTACCTACTTTAACACATGGTTACATTAATCCTACCTACTTAACACGTGGTTGTGGTAACCCCATCTACTTCAACATATGGGTATATTAACCTTAAAATACTTCAACCATTGGTTATATATATTAATCCTATCTACTTCAACACAGAGTCACTCACCCTGTCTGATCGTTGCCCTGCGTGGTGTACATGACAACGTCATTGCTGTCAGATGGGGGGAATCCATTCTCCCAACGAGGGGCGTCCATAACCTCCTTCTCACCACCCAGACCAACCCACTGCCACACCCCATTTATCTTCTTTAGACCAGTCCAAAACTGAGTACGTTCTGAAAACAAGATGACAACGAATATTTAATTTGGAATTTCTGAATTTTGGAATCATGCATTCTGATGGTCGGACTGGAGTACCGAGTGAACATCGAAACATTTTGAAAGCACGGTAGGTCTATCTTTCAGTTCCTTCAGGCAATACGTACGGAACGAGTCCTGAACGGCTTGCTGCATGGCAGGATCATGCACATGTACAAGATGAGTTCCTTCCCCTTTACACAAGGCCTTGGCGTCCCGGTACGTGTAAGGGTGGTCGATGAGGTACACACACACGCCGTCGATGAAGTCGTATTGGAGTCTCTCAGCGGGGATAGTCGAAAACTTGCCGGAACAGTCATCTGTTTAGAAAACTATTTATTATTACCCAATGAGCAATAAAAATGCGAGGCTTTCATAACGTAAGCTTCCATATTCATATATGCAATGTACGTAAGTCCCAAAACTTTCAAAGTTAAATTTTTGCTTACCCGATTTTTAAACGTAGTATATATGTTTCTTTAACTTTCGGCTAAAATTGTCCTAAAATCGCCAGCGGCTGAAGGGATGGTGTAAATCCAACTAGGGACCATGCAGGTAGCAAAGGCACTGTAAGTCCCCATGGTCCCTAGTATGGTGATCTACCTTCAGTTGTTGGCGATCTATAGCCCAATTTTACATTGTATTGTCCAGAAATAATTTTCTCCTTTTAAAGATATATGCTAGCTAGTTTTAACTCAATCTGTGATAATCTAGTGGTTGTACTGTCCTTCGTTGACAGGGTTTTATATATTATATGTATGTATTACAAATTTAGAACTAGTTTTAGTCACGATATGGCTGAAATATTGCCGATGTGACTTTAAATCTTAACTCACTCACTCACTCATATAAGCAATGTTGAAATTAGAACATTTCCATCATTGGCATTACTGCTGGTATTTCGTTTTCGTCAAAGCAGTTTGGTCTGTTACTAAAAACATATTTTCTTAAAGACGGTCTCATGTAATCAAATTGGCATGGGCAGCTTGGAGTCGATTATCCAGACACCACTGGTACCGCTATTTTTCAAACTGCAGGAACTTAGTTTACCTTAAGCCTACTATATCGGACTATATAAGCTTGGAGACGGGGCGATAGAACAAGAAATCAGATATTTAGATCAGATATCGCACCTTAGCTGAAAATACTGTTCAAAGCCGTTAGCCTCATCTCACTCACTCACAAGGGCGGGGCAATAAAAAGTCAACTCACCTGAGATCGTGCAATCATCGAGCGTAGGGGGCGGGGTCTGACATACGGGTCGGTAATGGTAGTTTGTCCTTGCCCCCTTCCAGTAGAAGACCCGATCTCTGAGCAGATGAGGATGGTGATTAGATGACACGATGATAAAATCTCACATTTCTGACTTCGGAGAAGTTTATTTATTGTTTTTTTATAATTATGCAGACTGAAGCGAAGCGTGGAGGCACCCCACAGCTAGATGACCTCGTTACCTGTAATAGGTGACTTAAGGAATCTGTGGTTCGAATACAGTCGTGCTATTGTCGCAGTAATACAGGAATAGTTTTATGGACAACAGTATTGTATCCATTCTCTTCCCACAGAGGTTACTTGTCATATCTTCCTATACGAACCTCTGTTCTAATACGGCCGTTTCATGGTGCGAGTGTTCAGGACTCGTCATTGGTTGCAAACAGATTTAGTTGTGCAATCAGCGACGTTGTTTCAAAAGTGATCATTCGCAAGGTCTCGGTAATTTCCGTATGCTTCGGGAAAACTAGAACCTCTTCCCCTGCGCGATGCGCCAACGTTTCTTCTAGATAGAACTCAGTCATGTAATGGCGGATCAATGGCGTCTCCATCGCCCTCGTTGACAACGGACAAGCTAGCCATTAAATGCCTAGGGGATTTTACGAGAACCGGTACATATGGCCGTATTAGAACAGAGGTTCGTAGGAAGATATGACAAGTAACCTCTGTGGGAAGAGAATGTATTGTATCATAAACCTGTCACCATTGTGTCGATAATGTACAAATGATTACAAATGATGACGTGGATCCGAGAACCCGAGAGAACCGCTGAGGTGGACAGACTGGACCGAAGCCGCAGTCTTCGGGTCCTTGTTTTCGTATATTGGCGTCGTCAAGATTAATTACGTTTCGTTTATTCGTTTTCGTAAACCCAAATTCACTTTTAAAGATTCTGGAGGCTTTAACTCGTTCGCTATTTCATTACAGTAACATAGCTTCGAAGTGTGAGTACCAGACGCCATTTTGGTTTTTTAGCCAGGAGACAACATTCATCACGTGACAGGTCAACGCCAGTCATGTGACGTATACTTTTTCGAGGTCATTGTCAGTCAGTGACTTGTGAAATATATTGCTATTTAACAGATGGAAATAGCCAAAGTGTTTACATAGGCATAAAATTATTGTTAAGTTTGAATCGATCTGAAGCAAATATAACAAGTGCCACTGTCTCCAGGTGTAAAGCGCCAGGTCATTGGGCTGGTTTAGTAGGTTGCACTCACCCTTCCCTCACCCCGGAGGTGGTGTAGGCAACAACGTCGTGTTTGTCGCTCGGGGGGAAGTCGTTCTCCCAGCGTGCATCTGTCATCCCCTCCTGGACACCGCCCAGGCCGACCCATTGCCACGCGCCCTTGACCTTCCGCAGACCTGTCCAGAACTGGCTTACACCTGATACAAATGTTTGACCTCACTAATAAGCATATACGGACTTAGGGACCGCTCATAATTTATGGCTGGGGGGTAGGGGTGGGTGTTTGATGATGATTTGAAGGGGGTCACCCATTTTGTTCTGGGGAGCTAGGGGGTCATCAATTTTGTACACAAGTACTAGGGGGTCATCAATTTTGTACATAAAAATTTGTGTAAAATTATGCTTAGAAATTATGGGAAGGGGAGGGGGTCATTGCTTTTGTACATGATGTGCAGGGGGATCACTTATGTTGTACATAAATTTTAGAGGGGGGGGGGGCATTCACATTGTACATGCTTCTACATAAAAATCATCATATCACACACACACACACACACACACAGAGAGACACCACCCCCCAGGCATAAATTATGAACGGTTCCTTACGGGCTTTCAGATTAATGCAAAGCAGAGCGCAGAAGAAGAATATGGATGATCGAACTTCAACGTGAGATCGCATTGGGTTTAAGATAAGATTGAAGCAACATATGTTATATTTAAGATTACACTTTCTTAGTAAAGTACATCAAATCCACACCCTCAGAGTCAGGAACCTAATCGCCAGCACACAACGTCAGTCGCCTAACCTGCTCAGTCACCGCGGCTTCTACAAAAATGGAAGTCGTACAACTGGTAGTCTAGATTGCGGACTTTGTGTACCCCTCTGAAGCGCTTATTAAACGAGGACCTTAGCCACGGATGCTTAAAGTCGTCCTGGTACAAGATGTAAAGGATCGGTCTACGTATGCACTGGTCTTCGCATCAGGCGCAGGGCGTTTAGGAGTGAGTATGGTTTTTTACGCCGCTTTTAGCAATATTCCAGCAATATCACGGCGGGGGACACCAGAAATGGGCTTCACACTTTGAACCCATATGGGGAATCAAACCCGGTTCCGCGGCGTGAAGAGCGAACGCTTTAACCTCTAGGCTACCCCACCGGCCCCGTGCGTTTAGGAAACAAGGGGCGTCTAAAATGCTGTACAGCCTGTACCAAATAAAAGGTTCTTATTTTCGTTCCGATGATAATAAACAGGGAAACGTGCCTGTGTTGTTTCTGATGACTTCTGCTGATTTGAATGTTGGCCTCCTATTATTGGATACCCAAGGGCAATGATAGGAAACCAGTCAAAGGACACACGACGTACCACACATTGTGATAGAAAGGAACCCAGTCCAAGACTTCCCACTATCCAAGATATCACATATAGTCAGGGACCCAGTCCAAGACTCACCATGCTGTCACGCATCGTGATAGACAGGAACCCAGTCAAAGACTCTTCGTTCTTTCATACATCGCGATAGACGGAAGCCTGGCCACAGATTTCCCCATTCATGCTTAAACACTATCATGTATTGGCCGACTTTCATATTAACTGATTGCTGATAAAAAGAGATGCTTCAGTTCCTTAACGAATTTGTGGACAGGGTATTTATTATCATCAACATATACCCCCATGATAATAGAAGATGACTTGCGACACGACTTCTTTGTTCTAAAAGGCAACATGAAATTGGGGATAACAAAACCGCGAGGTTGTTACAAAAACCAGAGACCATATAATAGATCTATTATATGGTCTCTGCAAATACTCACCAAACTCCTCCTCAATGGCTTGTTGTGTCGCTGGGTCCCGGATGTGCACGAGGTGAGTCCCCTCAGCTCTACACAGTGACCTGGCGGCGTTGTAGGTGTAAGTCTGATCCACCATGTACATGCACGTGCCGTCGATAACAGCCGCCTTCAGCAGGAAGGGGGTCACAGACGCGAACTTGCCACTACAGTCAGTTTCTGAAGCAGGTGAGACGTCATTAGGAAAGTGAGCTTCGTTGGTACATGTAGCTCGTTAACCGATACTGTGGCGAAGTTAGTTGGGTTTAACGACGTTTTGAACAGTGTTCCAATCATATCACGACGTGTCAGTTTAATGTGGGAGGAAATCCCGAAGTAATGTAGGATTTCAACTGACACTCAAGGGAATGGTGCTCGTAAATCTACAAGATAATGTCAGCGAACTGGGGTCCGAAATCATGACCCTTGGTTTTCGGCGTAGCCAAGGGACGCAACTCTGAATAGCGAATTGCGGCGTCTTGGACGACTCGTCCACCCGTTCCGCCGTTGCTTTGGCCGCTCCGTGTTCATGGGATGGAGGGTCAGCCCGGGGAGCGGAATGTCGAGAGTTCGATTCCCTGGCCGCGTCATACATTTTTTTAAAACGATATTTGTTATCTTCGCGGTATGATTCAGCATGATATTGGCGTGGCATATCCACCTAGCATGGATGGGTGTGATGCAAATATAAACTAGAAACACATCATTCATTCCACATTTTAAGTAACAGTTGAATATTTAGAGTGAGTGAGTATGTGTTTTATGCCGCTTTTAACAAAATTCCAGAAACATCCAGCGGGAGACACCAGAAATGGGCTTCACACATTGTACCCATGTGGGGAATTAAACCCGAGTCTTCGGCGTGACGAGCGAACGCTTTACCCATCAGGCTATCCGACTGCCCCAATATGTAGAGCAAAGGCCTACTCAAATAATGTTTTGATAAATGACCGAAACTTTTTATCAAGGATCACCACGAGGGAAGCCTTGACATTCAATATCACCTGCATTGAAAATTAGGAAGACCCATTCTTCACACCCAGCAGCTCTTGGCGTGTATGTGTGGTAACAACATTGCCCGTACACTGAGAAAAAACTAACGACAATTGAGCTATGATAGTGCGAAGCTACAGTGCTCGGTCACTTGGTGCGAAATGTAGTTCTCGATCACTTGGTGCGAACTGTTGATAACAATCAGATGGTGCGAAGTTTCATTCTGAACTAGTTTGTCCGAAGCTATAGTTCTCAACCTGTTAATGTGAAGTTATAGTCCTCAATCAGTTGGAGGGAAGTTATAGTTTTCAACCAGTTGGTGCGAACTATAGTTCTCAAACAGTTGGTGCGAAGCTATAGTCCTCAAACAGTTGGTGCTAAGCTATATTTCTCAATCAGTTGGTGCGAACTATAGTTCTCAAACAGTTGGTGTGAAGCTATAGTTCTCAAACAGTTGGTGCGAAGCTATAGTTCTCAAACAGTTGGTGCTAAGCTATATTTCTCAATCAGTTGGTGCGAAGCAAAAGTTCTCAATCAGTTGGTGCTAAGCTATATTTCTTAATCAGTTGGTGCTAAGCTATAGTTCTCAATCAGTTGGTGCGAAGCTATAGTTCTCAATCAGTTGGTGCGAAGCTATAGTTCTCAAACAGTTGGTGCTAAGCTATATTTCTCAATCAGTTGGTGCGAACTATAGTTCTCAAACAGTTGGTGTGAAGCTATAGTTCTCAAACAGTTGGTGCGAAGCTATAGTTCTCAAACAGTTGGTGCGAAGCTATATTTCTCAATCAGTTGGTGCTAAGCTATAGTTCTCAATCAGTTGGTGCGAAGCTATATTTCTCAATCAGTTGGTGCTAAGCTATAGTTCTCAATCAGTTGGTGCGAAGCTATAGTTCTCAATCAGTTGGTGCGAAGCTATAGTTCTCAATCAGTTGGTGCTAAGCTATAGTTCTCAATCAGTTGGTGCGAAGCTATAAAGTATAATATATATATTTTAACTACGACTAAACTAATTATGTGATGAAAAGAAATCCCTTGGCTTCACCCTTCGTAAAATGAAAAGACAGCCTTACCTCGTTTTGACTTGGGCAAGCCACTGGCCAAACTGAAGCCTGAAACGTAGAGGTGGTGCTCAGAAGACATTTAAATTCAACAATATATAAATGACAACCTAATTTTGCCTGTGCACCAAGTCGTATTTTCCCTCGATGTTTTCTTTGGGGCATATTGTGTTGGAAAACAAATCTAAACCTTAAGATGCGTTTTGCAGACAGTGCATAGCAGTTGGATAAAGGGAGCTTACTCTATGCTCCCATATACTGTCACGGTCAGTCGTCACTTACACTCATGTTAACTCTCTGAAAATATGTTTTTTATTATTAATATTAAATTAAATTTTGACAGAAATAAAGAACTCCTTTATATTGACAAGGAGCGCCACTGAGTTCGAAGATTCTGAACAGGAGGAAAATTTCCCCTCGCTTCGCTGAGGGGATTGCGCTGCATTATACAAAATGTGGAACGGAAAACATTGCGGTTCAGGAACTGTGGATCAGACCAGCTGGTAGTCAATCAAACCACTCCGTCTTGCTTGTTGTTGATTGTTTAAAGCTGAATTCACCAATATTATGACGACGGTCAGTAAATATGGACAAGACAATCCTGTGATGGATGTCATGAGCATCGATCTACGCAGCTGGGATACGAACACATGCATCAACTCAATCAGCGAGCCTGACCACCTGATCCTGCTAGTCGCCTCTTACGACAAAATTAGGTTTTGGAAGACCACTTCAAAACCAGATCTTTTCGGATGGCCACCCGACATGATTCAAAAGTTCAATGGTAACTACTTCGTGTGTCGTCATTTACAAAAATGACCTTCACTCACTCACTCACTCACTCACTCACTCACTCACTCACTCACTCACTCACTCACTCACTCACTCACTCACTCACTCACTCACTCACTCACTCACTCACTCACTCACTCACTCACTCACTCACTTACGCACTCACTCACTCACTCACTCACTCACTCACTCAAGCCGACCTAACTTACCCAGGACAAAGATGACACGCATCGACATCAACGACGGTCCGTACATCATCGTAGAAACGTCAGCGACGGGGATACAGATCGACTGGAGTATTACCCGGGATTATATAGGGAAGCACAGGGCAACACAATGAAGTAATCACATGACGGAACAAAGGCTTAATCTCCTGTTGAAGTACATTACCATCCCTTCTTCCTCCCCACCTCGAGGCTGTCATTGGTATCACAATACAAATACGGATATAGTTGAGAGTTGATTAAAGTATTATGTAACATTATGATGCGTTATCTCCCTTGAGTGAGTGAGTTGGGTTTTACGCCGCTTGTAGCAATATTCCAGCAATATCACGGCGGGGGACACCAGAAATGGGCTTCACACAATGTGCCCATGTGGGGAATCGAACCCGGGCCTTCAGCATGACGAGCGAACGCTTTAACCACTGGGCTACCCCACCGCCCCTTATCTCCCTTGAAGGGACGATGGGCTAGCCTAGTGGTGAAAGCGTTCGCTCGTCACGCAGAAGACCGGGTTCGATTCCGGACAAGGGTACAATGTGTGAAGCCCAATGTGTCCCCCGCCGCGATACTGCTGTAATATTGCTAAAAGCGGCGTAAAACTATACTCAGGCAGTCAGGCAATCAAGCAGGCAGTATCTCCCGTGATGTGTGTGCAAAGTCATAACATGTACATTTGTATGCAATGAGCTCCCTAGCATATTTTGTCCCATGTTATAACCATGTTGCACCATGTTATAACCATGTTATACCCATATTATACCCATGTTTGTTTGGTGGCTAACAAAACAAACAAGAAAATGTTATTCGATCGAGTTTTACACAACCATCATGCTTGAAAACGGTATAAGAATCTGTACCAAAACGTCGCCATTGTCAAAATAAAGAAATTGATTATCCATAAAGTCTTGTCATCTCTATACCACCAACTCTCTAGAATGCCACTCAAACAAACTAACCATAATAACTATGTTTTGGACTTTGAACTTAATGGTGGTTGAGTGAGTGAGTGAGTGAGTGAGTGAGTGAGTTTAGTTTTACGCCGATTTTAGCAATATTCCAGCAATATCACGGCGGGGGACACCAGAAATCGGCTTCACACATTGTACCCATGTCCCGTGTACATGCAATTTTTGTTTCCTCCCCATTGACCCTCACACACACACACCCCCCGCCCCCTCCCTCTACACACACACCACACACACACGCACCCATACCCATTTTTCACCCCCACTCCTCTAATACGTTACAGAGTGCTTAAATGACCTTTAAATTCAAAAGTACTTTTCAATGCCCAAATAGGTGTGATACAATGTGCCTACCCCAACGTTGACCCAGATGATTTATCATTTGGCCAATGAATATTAAAATGATAAACGTACTGTTTGTATTTACAATCATTATGTCCTTTTAAATAGCATAACCCTCAGTACCTCTCTGTCATTTAATTTCACGAAAATGAGGTCACTTTGTTATCTCCCATCAACATCGTCATCACATGTGCATCCTACCCCGAGTGTCAGAGTGACAGGCTTGCAGCAGCTTGTTTAAACCACCTGTGTATTTGTTTGTCGTTTAACGAGGCTCTGCGTAGTATCAGGTGTAAATAACACGTATATACAAGTACACACACCTGTTTAGTAGCCGATCAATATTGGTACAATCCAGGACGAATATCATGACTGTTTTGGTTGTTAGATACATTCGTCGAAAGTAAACATCACATCTTTTACGTAAGAGTGAGTGAGTGAGTGAGACACACACCCAAGCGTGCCATAAGGGACGCTATGTCAGAAGCGATTAACGGGATTGGGTGGTCAGGCTCGAGTGAAGCATGTTGTGGAAATCCCTACAGATCGATGCTCATTATGTCAATCACGGGACTGTCGTGCCAAGAGTTGGTTATGTACAGAGCGCCGTCAACCAGCCGGAATACAGCCCAGTGCAACGGGAACAAAAAGTAAACGCAACAAGGAATTCGAAGCGCCCGTTAAGTGAGCTTTATTAAAGACTGCCTGATATGAAATAGGATTACGTTTTGGGATGGAGTGAGTGAGTGAGTTGGGTTTTACGCCGCGTTTATCTATATTACAGCAAAATCACCACGGGGAACACCAGAAATGGGCTTCACACTTTGAACCCATGTCGAGAATCAAACCCGGGTCTTCGATGTGACGAGCAAACGCTTTAACCACCAGGCTAGTCCCACCGCCCCCGTGCGTTTAGGACTGAATGGCTGACTGAGTTTGGTTTTACGCCGCTTTTAGCAATATTCCAGCAACATCGCGGCGGGAGACACCAGAAATGGGCTTCACACATTGTACCCATGTGGGGATTCGAACCCGGGTCTTCGGCGTGACGAGCCAACGCTTTAACCAGCAGGCTAGCCCCACCGCCCTTGTGCGTTTAGGAAACAGAGGGCGTCCAAAATGCTGTACAGCCTGTACCAAATCTTGTTTAAAGTGAGATTGCTTCAGTTTCTTATTTTTGTTCCAGTGATCATAAAAACGGAGAGACGTACGTGTGTTGTTTCCGTTGAGTTCCTGTTCTGCTGATTTCAATGTTGGCCTCCGCTATTTCTTATTATTGGGACCCGTGAAGGTCCGGGGTTAATGGTCTTCAACAACCCAAACAGCAACCCATGCTTGTCGTAAGAGGCGACTAACGGGATCGGGTGGTCAGGCTCGCTGACGTATTTGACACATGTCATCGGTTCCCAATTGCGCAGATCGATGCTCATGCTGTTGATCACTGGATTGTCTGGTCCAGACTCGATTATTTACAGACCGCCGCCATATACATGTAGCTGGAATATTGCTGAGTGCGGCGTAAAACTAAATTCACTCAATCTTATTATTGGATACCCAGCGGCAATGAATGCCATGTTTAGGTAGATTGGAAACCAGTCAAAGGACACATGATGTGCGGAATCGAACCCGGGCCTTCGGCGTGACGAGCGAACGCTTTAACCCCTGGGAAACCATGGATATTTGGTATACATGTTTCTAACAACAATGAAATGATACCCAGCTACACGTTGCATCGCGATACGATACACGATGTGTTTTTTCTATGAATCGATAAAAGACGATAGATACACTTGGAAACATACATTATTTACTGGTCTTTTGATGGCCCCCGAGCATTTTTTTGTCAGCCAAATATTGAATTTTGTTGTTGTAATGAGCAATTCACTCACCTGTAAATTCACTAATCTGTTCCTTCAGATTACATATCCTACTGAACCTCTTCTAAAATAAAATAAGTTAAAAAGTTTTCTGCCAATTTGACCATGGTGGCCATACCAAGTACTGACTTTGGCGCCATCGTGTGGACTCAAGTAAACAGAAACACAACAATAAAGGCAGATGTTGTGTTGGCGAACTCTTTGTCTATAGACGTGTGAGTTGCCACTTTTCTACCATTGAAAATACATGAAATATTTGGTTTTAAACTAGCACAATAAATTCTTCTAAAATGGCTTATGCGTTGCTTTTCTTTGTAGAGTGTGTATATAACAGTAGCAAGAGGCGAATGGATGATGAATGTCAAGTTTTGAACACGTTTAATAAATATAATGTGTCACAAAATATGTTACAATCCCATGGAACCAGCCATCCCTCGAGCTGAAAAACGCTCTCTATTCTTAACGTAGGTGTATTTAATTTGTATTCATACGAACAGCGACAGGGAAATAAAATACAAATACGCTTTTGTGGATAACAGCTAAAACATTAACACAATTTAAAACAGTATTTTGGAAAATGTTAGCCATACTAACGGTAATCATAACATCGTTCTTATCATACAGTCAGTATCAATTTTTGACACATAGATGATAGAACAAGGATGCTGATTATGTGAAGTTATGCTAATATATAGAATTAGTTCCTAGTTAATCACAGAGGACGGCGAATGGAAAAAACACTTTCTTTAACATTGTCCCAACTTACAAAAATGCAAGTTAATGTAATTCGTAAACATCAGACATTAGAGACATACAATTTGGGGTAATGTTTGTGTGGCTTTTCTTGTTGCTCATGATGCTGAACCGTAATGAATAGGATCGCGACAATAGTCCAGGTGAGATGTGCAGTCTATTTATCTCTGATGTTCAGCAGTCAGCAGAGTCGAGGTCACCCAGCCCCACCAGTGGGGGGCGCAACAACCGTAGTCCTTGGCCCAAAGATAGAACACCGCCTATCCTGTAGAATGTCTCAGAAGCAGTAAAAGTGTCAGCAAAAAATAGCATGACACCTCCCACCCTCCAGAAATTCTTGTCGCTTTGGAACTAGTCACAGAATGTCCAGGGTACTAAGATTAATGTATTGAAAGCCAATATGTATGCTATCTCTTGACGCGTCAGACGCAGTTGCATTTATATGAAGCATAACTGGATAACATTAAAACTATGAACATGTAAGAAGCATTATGTATCAACAATATGGATTCAAACAGAACAAGAGATCCGTGATATCAGAGACCATATAATGTAATATCTATTATATGGTCCCTGGTGAAATAGACTATACACTCCTGCTGACATTAACATTAGAGAGACATTGAAACCGGGGATCCTTGGAAAGAGGAGAAACTGAAAGAAGTAGTGGTAAAATCCTTCTTAAATGTAGACAAAATACAAGCTTTGAAAATATCATCTTTTTGCAATTTTTTGTAAATAAGAACTTAACAAATTATACATTTTTGTAAATCACCATATTTTTCTTGTGAGCCCTGCTGCCATGCAAAACTGGTTGTGTTATACGATTGTCATATGCTCATATATTATTCTCATACATTATCATGTTAGAAAGTGAACACAGAAGATTGCTTGTTACCTTATTCTATGATATAACCTTTAAAGATGCTACGTGGATTCACATCTTGACAACGTAAGCATCTCATTATCAGTCTTGCACGAAGCCGGTGGAGATGGAGTTCACATGCCCTTCTCTTTCCTATGACCTTGTGGTGGATTACTAATTGATAATTATGTACTGCAATGGTGTGAATTGAATAATATGTACTGCGAGTAAGGTGAGGTGAGGTGAAATTGGGTTTTAACGTCGTGCTTGAGAATATTTCGCTAATATGACGACGTGCATGCGTGTGTATGTGTATATGCGGCTGCTTGTACTAGCCCAGACTTAAGCTGGTTTTATAGTGCTAGCCCATTGAGATACCATGCCGCAGTGAAGCATGAATACCCCA